CCCAGGACCTCATGATCAGCAGTCGCACTACTACAATCACTAGAACAACGAGGCAGTCATTTGATAATTATATAGAAATTATATATGAAATGAATGTTAATTTAATTTAGAATACAATTTTATTTACATTATTCAAAATCCCTCCCCTATTTTGAATACATGCTCTTAAATCGACGCGAACAATCATCAATCGCAGCACGTACCACACTCATATCTATTTCTGCCGATGGAAGATGCTCGGAAAGAATCCAAATTCTGATAAGGTTTAGCGCAGACTTTCTTCTCCAAATGTTGCCATATCTTATAATCCACTGGGCTTAAATCTGGAATAGAAGAGGGCCAGTCTTCATGTCCGATAAAGTCAATTCCATGGGCGGTCAACCAGTTTTGTATGCTTCGTACAGATTTCTGTTGGAATATCCAATGTCTGTTTTTGAACATTTTTTTGAGAAAGAGGTTCCACTATGTTTGTTAGGACGGTATTATGGTACCTCGGCACTGGTTTTACACCTTTTTCACAGAAAAACACCTCAATTAAGCCTCAATATGAGACTCCAAGCCAAACCATAAGTGACGAAGGATAATGTGCTCGTTAAACCCTCGGTATACGCGTGCTGTCTTCTTCATTGCTGTGGGCATACACCTTATCACTTTATTTATTATAACTTTCTTCAATGTTAAAATGCTTTTCATCCGAAAACTAAATTTCGTGGTATTTTTTCCCGCGTACCGCCGCAACAAACCGCGGGATCTATTCAGCCTAATTTTTTTCAAACGCTCATTCAAAAATGTCCGGTCTTCTTACGATAAGTTCGTAGTTCTATGTCTTCATTGATCACTCTTTTGACCGTGCTTCTGCTTAGGCCCACCTGAAGAGCTAAGACTTTTTGTTTACGAACAGGATTTCGTTGGATTCGGGCCTTCACTGCTTTGATGATCGCGGGTGTCCTAAGTTTACGAGGTCGGCCGGTCCTCTTACGATCTTCGAAGCTTGAATCGTTTATTTTAAATTTTTGTAGAATATTGAAATTCTGTTTTAGCGCGTAACTACAGCGGTGCAACGCCGCGATAACCGCTACTCTTCTCTTCTTTCTTTGACCACTCCATATTTGAAAATGAATGAAAATTAATGTTTTTTTTTATTTTCGGCAAGCGCAAACGTTACATTTTTAAAATTGGTGAATTTCATCTAGCCAGTATTCAAAAATTTTAAATAATACGGTTTTGACAGAACTTATGACCCGACTAAGTATAGGTACTAACGAAAGTAACCATTATTATTTGGTATGTTATTCATTTTATACGTGAATCAGAAAAATTTTGTTAGTTTATCTATTAGCACATGCGATATAGGTTTATCCTAGTTCAGGTACCTGTTATTTTAGATTATTTTTAGGTTAAGCAGTGTTTAAATTGTGAAGTTTATTAACAAATCTAAATAAACAAATAATGAAATATTTTAGATTTAAGTTTCTCAAAAACCATTTGTTTTATAAAGGTTTTCGTTTTTTGCCAAAAATTTTTCTTCGTTTTATTGAATAAAATATAGCCTAGATCCTCCACCATTTTATGATTCTATATGGCTCTCTATCTGTTCGTAATGTTTCTAAACAATTGTTTAGTCATTGCGAAGGTTAGCCCAGATAAACAGACAAAAAAATTAAAATGAATATTTATGCCGTATTACTGTGCAAATAACCCCCTGAGTGTGATAGAAGCCAATTATTTTAATATTACAGACAGACACGTCAATTTTATTTATATTTATGCATATAATATAAAGTAAAATAATATATTCTGTATATAAATTTACTGTCGAAAACTTCGGTTTCGGTTTTCGTATTTTTTGTACGCATTTACTGAGGAGCCTGGAAGTGTAATAAGTATAATTTTCTCAATTTCCTCCTTAAGCAGCGTGCTTTAACAATGAATTAAACTTTACAACATTTGTAATTTTATTTGTGTAATGTTCGGCGATGGACTGGATGAATGGATTTGACTGAATTGGTGAATTGATTGAGTGACCGATTTGATTGCAGTTCTCGTTCGTTTTTTTTTTCTCTTTAAATTGGCAATTCGTAATTAGTTACTTACGGTTCTCATGTCGTTGCCTCCCAAGTCAAGTTCCTCTAATTTTGTAAGAATAAGGCTGTTCTTCAAATCTCTGGGATATTCTATGAGTCGGTTATTTGCAAGTTTCAGTATAACTAATTCGGGCAGCTCGCTGATTGACTGAAAGACCAAGAAATTTTACCTATTTTAAACAATTTTACACTCAAAATTAACTAACGTAGAGTAAAGATTCTTTAAATATTTATACATTGAAGTTTGATACATTAAAACGAATAACTTCAGATGGTATTTATGAATCATAAAGCTTAGTTTTATATATTAAAAATGTATCTATCTTTATTACCGAGACTATTCTACTAGATACACTTTGATGTTTGATTTTTATTTAAATTCTTGTGGAATTGAGTTTACTTTTATTTCCTTCTAGAATTATCGGAATACGTAATACTTACACCAGGTGCCAGTTCCATGATTTCATTATTGTTCGCATTCAGCACTTTTAAATTCTTTAATACAGATATTTCTTTAGGTATTTCAGTTAGTTTGTTGTTCTGCAGGTTTAATGTGGTTGTTCTTGGATCTATGAACGATGGGAATTCTGTTAGACCATATCCCGAGCAATCTACGACGAAATTGTTTGAATCTCCTTCTATGTTACAAACACATGGTTTCGGACAGGCAACATCAGAATCAGATGTTGAAGGAGTTTCTTCTTCCAAAAGTACAGAAGGTTTTATGTCTTCGATTTTCGGTATTACTTCAAACTCAGTTGTTGCACTTCCTGGTTCTTCAACAATACCATTGCCACTGCCTTCGATAGTACCGTCTTCGATATCTGAATGGTTTTCCGGGGGAAACTGATTGTCACTCTCCAACGGGATGTATAACTCATTGTTGTTCTGTCCGGCTGCAACGTTTGAACTGAAAATTTATTTCGATACATTAAAATCATGTGACTGTATCAAAAATTTTTTATCGTAACGAGCTGACGTGAAATTGCTAAGTACATAGATAAATATGACGCAATCTGCAAGGGCGTAACCGAAGATTTTCAAAACTGTAAATATTATGTTGTGTCTAAAATTTTATTGATTCGGAACTAATGTGTCTTAGTTCTACTTATATTTTAGTAAAAGGCTCAAATATTATAAAGTGAAAACGTATGAATTTACTGACTTAATATATTTCTTAATAATACGTCCGTACACACTTTTAAAAATATACTCATAAAAATATAACAGTAGTGTAACTAATTTTTTTTTAAATCAAATGTAAAAAATAGGTTTGATAAGTAAATACACAATATCACAAAACATTAGTTCTTTTGATGGAATGGCATATTATTTTAAAGTGTATTCACTGTTGTATAACTCGTAATCAGCTACTATTGATTAGTATAGTATAGTAATAAACAAATATCGCCGAAATGATAATTACGTTACGAAGCATGTGTAGTAGGTAAATCTTAAATGACTTACGCAAGAACTCCCAATAATAGCAGGAAGAAATGATTCTTCTTCATGGTCACTTGGATACGAGCACCAACAGGATTCAGAAGTTACCTGTCGCGAACAAGTACCATCAGAGTACGAAGCCCGTAACTCACTGACACTTATAACTATTATCACTCATTGATAAGATTACGGACGGTATGGCGCAGCTTATCGCGAGTACTCGATAAAGATTCTTAGCAAAAACGAAAAAATATACGGGCCAGAGTCCCAAGGCAATACGAGTGTAAGGCCCCTCTCTCTTTTTTCCATATCGTATATAATTTAATACTTTTTTCTAAGACCGCAAAGTTCATGGACATAGTTGGCTTTAGGTTAATTCGGCTCTGATCGTAAACTGAAACGAGGTATATATTTCACACTTAAAACTGAATTTTCTTTCGACTATAGGAGTAGTACTCTAGTATCTACAGCAAATACTAATTTTAAAGAGCAATTTTTTGATAGTTAAATATTATATTAACGTCGTGGTAGCACCCATCGACGAACTTGTAATAACATGAAATCGAGGTTTTATTAATAATATTTGCAAATTTTTACTTTCACTATTATTTTGACGCTATAATCTATAATTAAAATGCAAGTTTTTCAGTTTTGTTTACAATTTTAAAATACGCTGTGACTATATTTCACTAAAATTCTATGATACAGTCACCTGTACCGGAAATGATTTAAATTTATCAGAATTAATCGAAATTCGGACTTATCTTACAAATGACGTTTACTTATAAATATTGTCAACGCAAGAGATATCTATGTAGTGAACCACTATACTCACTAACACGATGATCGAGTTTCAATATACGCCTGTGTGTGTACAGATAAGTCAAAATAAATCACTACTTTATTTGTTAGAGTAGCTAGTGATTTATTTCGACTTGACGAGGTCTCTATCATATCAGTCAGGCGTCTTTGCAAAATATTATGTAAATTAATTTCTAAATATTTATGACTAATGAGATGATGGTCTTTGCCTTACATATTTAATATCATATATAAATATTTTTAAGAGATAAATCTGATTCCATCCTTAGGCAACACTTTAATACTGACAAGTAGAAAATGAGTGTGAATTTTAAATGAGCCAACACCTCTGACCGGGTAGACGTCTGCTAAACAACCGGATGGGCTCCACTTCATCGTGCCGGTTGGTAATCGGACGAACAGGCTCTATCTATGGTGAATCTAGTAACGTCATCATCATCATTACAGCCCTTCACAAGTCCACTGCTGAACATATGCCTCTCCCAAGGAATGCCACAAAGCATAGTTCCATCCACGCGATCGCGAAGTGTAGGGCGTTCCCCCCACTAGATGAAGTGATGATCTGGTAATACATGCAGGAAGTCTCGTAACGTAACACTATACATTTTAGACAGATTTTGAAACGAGGAACACCAGATTAAAATTTGCTTAATGCTCTTTTTACTGAAAGTGAGGTATTCTTCTTATTCCTCGGGTGGTGACAACGCATCTGCATTTTGATTATTAATTTAGGATAGAAACGTACATGTCTACGGGCCACAACATCTACTACCATCTGGTGGACTGTGTGCTTGTTGGTCACCCTTATTCTCTAAAAAAATATTTTTGTGTAGTGTTTCCTAGGTGTGAGATAACAAATTAGAACAAATCGATCTCAGAGAAAAGTAAAAGAAAATTTAAAAATTAAGCGTCCAAATGTAAAATGTAATCGTAAAAGTATCATTTACTTCCATTATAACGCTAAGCCTTACACAGCTTTCTCGACTTAAAAACATTATAGGGATTGGGATGGGAAGCTTTCACGTACGCTATTGATTTTTAACTAATATTAGACATAATCTACCAAATGGAAAGTAGTGATACCTAATGCGTGTACCATTACATTGTTTCAATAATTTTATTTCACCCTTCTAATCAACAGTATTTATTTTCATCGTATGTAGTGACCGTGACATAATGATCATGTTTTCATTTTCCAACAGTACTGCAACGGTGGCGACCTTGCCGACTACCTGCAAGCCAACAGGCTGCTGAGTGAGAACACGATCCGTATCTTCCTGCGGCAGCTTGCTGAGGCCATGCGAGCAATTCACGCCAAAGGCATCGTTCACCGCGACCTCAAGCCGCAGAACATATTGCTTACTCACAACGTGGCGTCGCCACGCACGCCCCACCCCGCCGAGATCACGCTGAAGATCGGTAAGCAAGTTTTTCTTGCTTGATGAAGTTTTTATATAAACAATCAAAAATTTTTGACGCAAATTTTGAAGTAGGTATACGCACAAAAACGTAGACCCTACCTTTTACCTATCCTTCACAATAAGGATTGTGATAAGAACGAATACAAGCATAAAGGAGAATAATTACAAATCTTGACCCCTAAACATCGAACTATATTACTAGCGTAGTAGTAATACCTCAATGCTCCTAAAACAACTTTTTTATTTTGTAAGAGTAAGATTGACGTTTCTGGCTCGAGTATAAAATTTGCATCTGAGACCACTTTTTACCTTTCAAAAACCATTGCACAAGAACAAACATTCCAGACCCAAAAAAATTTAGAAGGCTGGAAAAAGTTGTCCCAAGAAGGATTGGAACCCAAGTCACACAGCACCGCATCCACTTAGCTTAGTAGTTGAGCCCGAATTCAAATTCATGTTATCATTTCAAACTATAAAAAATAACATTAATAGAAGGCTCCTAAATTGTTATTTTGTAAATTGAATATTAAGCACAGAGCAACAACTTTCCAAACTTGTGAAACTAAAATCTGTTTAGGTTTATCAAAAGACTCGAATCCGGATTTTATTTAAATTTAACTCACCCCAATATGTGAAGAGTTAAATGTTAGTAAAGTTGAGATGTGTTTGATGTTCCGTTCTTTCTTTTACGCTTTAGTGAAAAGCCGCATGTGATACGATATTTTTACTCCCTTAACCAAAGTCAAATAAAATATTAACAGAAGTTTAGAATTAAAGAAATAATTTGATGATAACGACAGGACCTGGTTCTGGGTTTTAGGTCTTAAGCATTGTAATGAAGTCGCCGATTTACGCGTTACTTTCATATAAATTTATATAAATTCTTCATTTGTTTATGTATTCGTTTTAACGTCTGTTCTGAATTAATTTTACAATAAAAAACGCGTTTTCGCAACCACAACAGGCCACAGCTATAAAAGAACGAAATCAGGTTTTAAGTAGAACGCCAAACGTATGATTTGTAACGTGTTTTAGAAAGTCTGCGAAAAGCTTTGTTATTATTAACATACTAATAACTCGTTAAATTTACTTCCGTTCAATTAATTTTATAAAAACCTTTGGAGGAAACACTTTCTACTAACCATTTCGTTTTATTTATTAATTACTGCTGTATATTATTAGTTGTTACTTTTCAATTTAAATAAGCAAATTGGCAATATAAATGTTAATTAAATACCCTAGTTAATATTGTTTTAAATTTCTTATCACAAACTTTAAACATAAATAAGCTTCGTGTCAGATGCCTTTTATCATAATACGCGTGTAAAGCAAGTGTTTAGCGATGAAGGATATAACATCATCAAGCGCTACTACTTAATTGATAAATGTAAATAATTTCGAGGACAAGTGAAGTTGGCCGAAACGATTGGGTCAGTTGGACGGACTTTATTCACTTCTTTCTTGTTCGAAATCACTCCCATATAACATTTTTATGACTGCCAGCGACTCTTGGACATCGACTGTTGACGTATGACGCGACAAAGGGAAACTGAAACATTTGATGGCATCTTCCTAAAAACAACATAAAATAATAAAAAACACTTACTACATATTACGACTATGTGGCCTAGTTGAAAAGAAAAAATACAACGCAGGTTCCAAGATTCAGATGCCATCCAGAGCTTACGTGTGTACGAAAGTAGAAATTGGAGGTTTTCTGGTTTGATTGTTTTGCGATTTGTCCCCATATGGATTCAGTGCCTTAATATGTTGTTAAGAAAAGTAATTTAGCTTTACTCACGGGTTTTTGGAACAGGGATGATACCACCGCAATGCATTAGTGTTTGTTGGGATACTTTAGATGTTTTCGGAATATTTTTTTTAAATCTTAGATATGACTCCCATATAATATGTTTTATGACTGCCAGCGACTGTTGGACATCGACTGTTGACGTATGATGCGACAAAGGGAAACTCAAACATTTAATGGGCAGCAGCATCTTACTGATAACAACATAAAATAATAAAAAAAACTGCGGTTGCGAACACACTTATCAAGCGGGGCAACTACGGCATATCCCCCTATGAGGCAGTCTTTGTGGGAGACCTAAGTTAAGCAGTGGCCTTCTGATAGGCTATAATATCAATTTAAATATTTAAAAAAAATTCTTAGAGTTTTTTCAACTATTGGTAACAAACTGAGATTCTGTAATGTTTGATTTTCTTATTCGCGTACATTGTGCTTAGCGATGAAGGATAACATCATGCAACACTACTACTTAATTTAACAAATGTAAATTATTTCGAGCACTGTGAAATTGACCTAAACATATTGGGGCCGTTGGGCGGACTTAATTATCTTCTTTCTTGCTGCAAATCACTCCCATATAATATGTATAAATTCTTTAACGTTAAAGTTTTTTATTCGCAATGTATATAAATTGTTATTTCCTTCTCAATAGCGGACTTCGGCTTCGCAAGGTTTCTCGAAGAGGGCAACATGGCTGTCACACTTTGCGGCTCCCCAATGTATATGGTAAAAACCAATTAATAACTAATATTTATAAATCGCAGTGAGTAGCAGTGTTAGTGATTCCACTACCCCATATCAACCCGCCAGCCAAGCGTGGCGACTGTGGCAAAATCCTGTGAAGTGTCAATGTGTGGGAGGCCTATGTTCAGTAGTGGAAGGCTGTAATGGATGTATGGTATATTTATAGCTATGTAAAAATACCCACACCAGCGACGGGAAGTAGCGTCTAAGCTGCAAGACATCCGCTATCACTTTATTTATTTAATACTTATTAGACCTTAAAACAGTACATGATCAAAAGGCGAACTTAAAGCTAAAAGTGGAGAGATTTTTTAATAAATATTAGACAATTTAGTTCATAATAGTGTCTAATTCTTTATTCGTATTAATGTATTCTGTTTTGTAACACTGCTGCATAATCAGTACCGTAAAAACATTACCCTCCTCCTGGAGCAGCTGGACCTGGGTAAAGGTATTTAAGATATTAAAATAATTTGATTGTATTAAAAATTATGTAACTTTACTGTCTAGTTTTTAAATTCTGTAAACTTTTTACTTTAGTACCAAGATTGTAGCTCATGCCTGGCACCCAGAGGGGTAGATAGAGACTACGGACTTCCATTTGGCACGATCCTGACATACCACTCTCGCCTCCTTTACATCCATATATCTACGCGTACATGCTCGTCGGTTAAGGGTACTTCTAATGTAGCCCATTTTCAAAATATCGCCAATTTGGTCGATAAAGTTTCTTCTAGGGCGTCCCTTCCCGACTCTGCCGTTCACATCTGCCATAAATCCACTCGAATGTCGGGGTCATTTTGGCCAATATGGCGCATCTGTCGAGAACTTTCCGAAGTACTAAGTAAGTGTATAAAAAGTATACTAAGTATATATATATATATATATATATATATATATATATATATATACTAAGTAAGTATATTAAAATGGTATATCAATGGATGGAAACGTTATTAAATAAACTATCAGATTATGCATAACAGATATACCTATATGTTATATATATATATCATATATATGTTACAAATAGTTTGCTATCACTCGACGCCATATTATGTTGTTTGACAGATGCGCATATTATTTGAGACGCCAGAATATGGCGTTTGGACAGACGAGGGGATAAATTTGCTTTGTCACTCTTTCCATATTCATTCTTTCCACATGACCAAACCACTGGAGCATTCCTTTCTTAACCCTGGTCACAACATCATCTTGAATACCACATTTATCTCTTATCACGCAATTTCTCACCCTGTCATTCAGATTCAAACCTAGCCTACTCCTTAAAGACCGCATTTCTACAGCATTTATTCTACTTTCGTGCTTCTTCTGCCTAACCCAACTTTCACTACCATAACACAGCATTATGATTTACCATACGTGCCTTTTTGACACATTCTGATTCTTCATAATAGAGTGTAGTGCCCCATTTACAATTACAAAAGATTTCCTGAAGTATTAAGTTCAGGAACGTGGGACGTATAATTAAATTAACGAAATTTGTCATAGTTTGGGTGTTGATGTCAATTTTGCGGTATGATTACATCGTCTTATGACACAATCGTAGAAATACTATATTTTTATTTTTCTGCTATAAGCTTTCTATCACTCAAAGTCATAAACTTCAAAATTGCCAAGAAATAGTTTTATTTGTGGACAGGCACCTGAGGTGATAATGTCATTGAAGTACGACGCTAAAGCGGACCTATGGAGTTTGGGCACAATTGTGTACCAGTGCCTTACGGGCAAGGCGCCCTTCCAGGCTACTACTCCGCACGAGCTCAAAGCCTTCTACGAGAACAGCGTCGATCTGCAGCCCAAGTAAGTGTTCAACCAATGTCATTTCCAAATTAATTTCTTATAACTACTACATATTACGACTATGCGGCCTAGTTGAAAAGAGTTCTATACACCGCGGGTTCTGGATTCAGATGCCAACCAGAGCTTACGTTTGTACGAAAATAGAAATTGGAGGTTTTCGGGTTTGATTGTTTTGTGATTTGTCGCCATATGGATTCAGTGCCTTAATATGTTGTTGAGAAAAGTAATTTAGCTTTATTGACGGGTTTTTGGAACAGGGAGGATTCTACCGCACTGTACTAGTGTTTGTTGGGGTACTTTAGATGTTTTCGGATTATTTTTTTTAATCTTTAGCACTTAAAATTGAAATTAATCAAATAATATTACTATAATTATAGCATCAACAGAGAGCATGCAATTTAATGTCATATTATAGTAATCGTAATTTTATAGTGCTGTAAGTTTTGGTGTTTGCCTTGTGGTGACGGTGTAAAAGAAACTATCACCTTATTTTGTCTTATGATTGTCATAAAAATCGTCTGAGGAAAAATATCTGAAAGTAGTTATGGTCTTGTATGGTCTTGTCTAAATAAATGACAGTATAACCATATGAGCGTTCCACCAACATACACTTGTTGTTCGATGTAGATGTAAAAGTGATTTCAGTCTAATGACGCAAACATTTCCGAAACGACGTGTAAATTTACTATATATGTGTATCCAACTTTTTGAAAATACTTCTATAAATATTTCACAAACTGTATAATATTTTCTATCCTTGGTATAATCGTGTAGTAAAAGTAGAAATAAAAACATAATGAGCAATAGTAGATATTTTTCTTTTTTTGTCTGTACAGGTCAAGTGCAAGTTGCAAGGAATTATCTCGATCCGACAAACGAAATAAGCTATCCGCACCTTGTGTGCCTTGATACTTAAATTCCATCACTATACGTAATTGCAATTTAAAAAATACACACGCTGGGAATCTGTTAGAGTACTTATTGAGTGTTGAATAAACACCAATTTTACGGATTTTATCGCGTTTAATTTTAAATGTTTTTAATTCCCGACGTTTCGGAAGCTTTCCAACACCCATGGTCACGGGGGACTGAGGTGACTGACGTCCCGATGTCAATGTTAATACCTTCAGCTTTTTGATTAATGTTTATGGTCGGATCTATGCAGAATAAACTTACTCGGTCTTGAAGTCGCAGTGTTATGCTTGGGATTAGTTTTAATTTTATTAATTACGGGGTCCCAAGCAGGTGGTAGTAACCAGCCTCCTTCTCTATTTAAATTAGGGTGTTTTTTAATTTCAATAGCCTCACGTATCATCCTTAGTAGGATTAGATGTTCTTTCGCGAGAATTTGTGGTCTATCAAATCTGATGTAATGGTTGGGGCCGCCTAACCTAACGGTAGACTTCTCGGAACGTTGATACCTCACGTCAGCTAAATGTTCTTTTACGCGGGTTTTAATAGATCTTTTTGTTTGTCCTATGTATGAGAGACCACATTCACAATTAAGCTTGTACACTCCTGCATCCTGTAGAGGAGTGTGACACTTGACAGATGGTAAGAACTGACTTATCTCCTTCGGCGGCTTGTAGAATGTTGTAATAGAAGCTCGCTTCAAGATGTAGCCAATCTTGTCTGTGACAACTCTGGCCATATGGTAGTACAGCAGCCACACGCTCGACTGTGGCCGGCTTCACTCGGTCACTGTGACGTAGGCGCGGGATCCGAAGCTTGTTGTCTTGCAACACTTGCTTGACATGCTGAATTAAGTTATTGAAATGATAAAAAAAAAAAAAAATATAAAAATTTTTTTTATTTTAAAGTAAATTTGTTCGGCGGCCAGATGTTTTCTGTCACAGATCCCTCGTGCTCTCTGAAACAAAGATTAACCCACGGTAGCTAACTGTGAAGGATGATGGTGAGATTCACCATTTAAATATCGGTTGGTATGGTTCTTTTTTCTATACACAGTGTGACCAATAGTGTTATCAGGATTTCGAATGACTAAAACATCTAGGAAAGCTAAAGAATTATTTGCCTCTAACTCCATTGTGAATTGTATTTTAGAGTTTATAGAGTTAAGGTGGTCTAAAAATGCAGTTACTTTGTCAGATGGTAAAATTGTGAAAGTGTCGTCTACGTACCGCTTGTAGAATCTTGGATTTACAGGAGCAGTAAGAAGGGCTTTCTCCTCGAAGTCCTCCATGAATATGTCGGCGACTATGGGAGATACAGGTGAGCCCATCGCCACACCGTCTGCTTGCTTGTAGAACTCTTCCTTCCACAATAGATAGCCAGATGTGAGGCAATGTTTAAGTAATACTGCATATTCAGCAGGCAAGTTGTTATCTTCTAGCTTCCTAGTTATAATTGAGATGCAGTCTTCAACAGATAGGCATGTAAATAGAGACTGAACATCAAAACTGACCATGGTTTCATTGTCAGTAAGACGTAGGTCTTTTATCTCACTGACAAAATGGTATGAATCCTTAGTGTGTGCTCTTGTGTGTCCTCTGAGTGCTGATAATATTTTAGCTAGGTGTTGAACCAATCTGTAAGTTGGCGAATCAATCTGAGCGTTCGGTTTATGTATTTTTGGTAACCCATACAATTTCGGTGGTTCGGCACATGCAGGTAATATCGAATTAACGTCAAGATTCGATTTCTCGGAGTATTTCTTAATTTGATCGCTAGTTGTTTTAAACATATTGTAGGGTCTGTTTTGACCTTTCGGTATGTACTTTCATCCGACAAAAGTTGTTGTATTTTAAAATTGTAATCTGACGTATCCATTATAACTGTAGCATATTACCTTTATCTGCGCGGAGAATCGTAAGCTCTGGTCTGTTGCGTAAATGTTTCAACGCGTTAAATTCATTTTTGGGAAGATTTAATTTCGATGCTAAACTTCGATGTAATATAGACGAAATGTCTTGACGTATGGCCTCTAAATATTCATCACAAATATTATTTTTATACAGACAATCCTCAACACTACAGATAATATCTTCATACGGTATTCTTCTCGGTGTAATGGCGAAATTTAATCCTTTACTTAAAACTTTTATTGCGGCGTCGTCCAGAGTTTGTTTTGATAGGTTATAGACAGCACGTTGTTTAACGATTTCGTATGTTGTATGGACATTTGATTTAGTTGTTAATTTTTGGTATTTATTAATATGTTTGTTTTTGCATTCATTGTATTTAGTTGTTTCGCGTTTATCTAAAGATTCCATGCAATTCTTAAGTGTCTTTAATTCACTGGACGAATTGTCTTTGGTTTTGTTTATGAAACATAGATCGGGACGTTTTTGCTGAATCACCTTTTTAACAACTTATTAAGTGTCTAATATATGTGTATAATAAATATAATAGGTATATATTGCCAGATACTGACCACAATAATATATATAATACTTAGAATACTATAATACATACATAATAGAACGGGCGAGTGGGCGGAGCTCGTGTAGCCACTAACATGTCACTATCATGTCAATTTACACCTATTTGTGTTTATTGTTTACCGTCCCATCGGGTTATGAGAGTGAGGGAATAGAGAGTACACTTGTGCTTGCCCATACGCTTGGGCACTGCTAATCCTGTCCTGCGCTGATGGCTAGCCTCCATTGAGGCAGGCGACCGTGACCGAAATTCGGTCTGGAGGACATTATTTTAATAATGTACCACAAAGTCATTGACGCGTATGAAAACATAATCGGTCCAATTATGTTTTCATACGTGGACACGCCTAATTACAGTTTACAATCAATAAATGTCAACACAATCAATCGTTTACAATTTTCGTGTCAAGCGTCACTGCATGCAAATTATTTTAAAAATGGCAATTTGTGCAATAATTACGTGTCGAAAAAACAGCGGGAAATAGAATTTAAATAAAGAAGACATATCCTACAACCAGTAAGTCGAAACTATTAATATTTTGTAAATATTAGAAACAAAAATAAAGAAATATTGATGTGTTAAAAACCTTAAGTCTGTCAATACAGCGAATAGGGTTTGTAGTAGTGATAATACGACGTAATTGCTTGTAGGTGTGCTCCCGGTGACACCGATCCTCGTACAAAATAAGGTTGACAACTAATTATATTGTGTATTATACTATTCTATGGACTAAACCTCTTTTTTATGACATTGGTAGTAGGAGGAACAAACATAGAACACTACCTAATGATAGTGGCCCTTTCAGCTCATTTATAGCTGTAACCAACGTCAAAACAAGGAAGATTATAATAGATGTTTGCCTTTAATTATGATGGTTCTCAATACCTTTGCTGGATTGTTAAGGTATTTAAGACAGTTAACGTACAAATTAAAGAAATTAATAAAAATATGACTATTTTAGAAGACCTAAAACAAATTATGCAGTTATTAAGAGCACTTAAGCTTACTGAGTAGATTCTAGAAATTTCATGCTTTAACACTGCGAATTTTGTAATGCATATTTGATATATAAATAAATTATAAAAACAAATAGAATGTTATTCAATAAATGAACCATGAAAGAAAAATTAAAAGATATATGAAATATTAAAACAAATTAAAATAACACTGTTGTGATATTTGATTTGATGACAATGGCCGGCAGATTACGAAAAAATCAAATTATTGTTTATGAATAAGTAGGGTTGAAATGCCGGCTATAATTATTATTACCACCCATTTCATACATTTATTTTGTAATATAAAATTCTTTTAGATTGCTGGTAACAACGTACAATCAACACTAACGTAAAAACTTGACAAATGAAATATTACAAAAGTTAGTTTTATAAGTTAGTAAGAAAGAAATGTAAAATGTTAGGTTTAAAATCGTACTAATCATTAAAATTTAGAAGTTGAATACGTAAGAAATCTTTTGATAAATGAGACATACAAAAGGGTTACTTAATTTTAACTACTGTTCGATCGGTTCTGGTGAAAACTTCTTTATATCTTTAATTTCATGAAATTGCTGCGGGCTCAATTTCGTTCGTCTACACACACTATGAACTTCCCATTTGGTGATTGATTGTAACTTCGGGTTTCTAATTATTATAAAACAACTGCTGGATCGAATTTATTTTGCATTAGGTGTATTTGATGACATGCGTCACACAGTACACAGTGTCGAATACAGAACTTCAAAAATCGAAAGAAACAAAACTTAGTTTATTAAGTTCTCCTCCGAAGTTAATTATTATTAAGCTTTCAAAATTACCCTTTTAATATAAGCTAAAATCACCATTTTCGCTAACAGATTTCAGAATTACCATTTTTAATTTAGGTGTTTGGTAATGGTGCTACGTATACATAATGAATTCATATAGAGTCTTTCTTTACAGAATGCCAGCGGGCACGAGTCCAGAGTTGTGTAATCTACTAATTGGTTTACTGAGACGAAACCCACGCGAACGTATGCCCTTCGAAGTGTTCTTCAACCATCCGTTTTTACAACGTCCACGGTCTACTTCTATTACGAGTAAGTTTCTTACTTTTAATAATACATTTTAAAACAATGTTGGTGGTTGTAAGAACATTTAATACCAAAGCATAAACGAGACGCTTCTAACAAAACGTGAAAGGAACAGTGTGCATATCAGCGTTTATTAGCAGTTTATTGCTTTAATTATCTAGTTACATGTGTTGTTTAACTTCTAATTATAACAAATACTCGACATTTTTTTTTATCTAAGGAACGTAGAGGTACAAAAAAATACCGTCATAAACTATAGTGTTTTATAGACGTTTAAGAGAACGAGTATATTATTTGGACAGCCACCTACCTAGTAATACGTGTCAATTAAGATTTTTGTGATATCTTCAACAAACTTTTTAAGTTAAAACTAAGACAACACTGTCCCAGTTTTCCAGCAATGTATATCGTGGCAATCAAACAAAAAATAAAACTTAAATCAGACCATAACACTAATCAGCTGTAACGAGTTCCATTGTTTACGCTTTCGAAATTTGTAGCCATTCTATCATTATTGTCATTTGCACTATCTAGCAATTTTACTAATCAGTTAGCCTATAAAAAAAATTATAGTTAATTAGTTAATTCCTGCTCATTAACAGAGTTCATATTAAAAATATCGAAACCTCACTTCATTACATATTGTTATTATATTCTTACTAGTTATTTTTTATCACGTTTTGTAATATTATAAGCTTTTTAAAACATGACCGTTCATAATTTTTATATTCATTCATGCTTCTAGTCCGGAATTTTTTGAACTACTTTATATTGTTGTATAGGTTTGGACTCGGATCTGCCTGACATATTGGAGTGCGATATGGAGGGCCAAGTCAATACTAACTGTTACCTTGAGGAGTCGTGGGACAGCCAGGGTATACATTATTTACACTTACTGCTTTTGTTGCATGGGGTGAATTAACTAATGTACGGGTCACATGCAATGTATGTGGCGTCGAGTTTTCATTATGTGAAGTGAACTTTCTACAAATATTAAATAGCATGGCTTTGGTTATTTGTTAATTGACGCTTCGTGGTGAATGTCAGTTACGTAATTAATGTTGGTTCAAAATTTTCAAGGACTAGGTCAATGTTATACGCCTCATGCTTAGAATTCATGTCGCATCTAATGTGCTTAATTTTTCCTTTTATTCAGATCGAATACTTATTGCACTATAAAATATATTATGTATACATATTTTCTTATGATAGCTTTAACAGCTATATGGCATAATAACCCACAATATTAACGAGTTCATTTAATAGCCAAATCTGATATTGCAACGTAGATAGCTACAGCCTATAATCGGTCCCACCCCTGAACACGCGCCTCCTCTCGTTACTGAGAGGGTTTTAGGGCAAGGAAAGGTCCGCCACGCTGCCCCAATGCGTGTTGGCGAAATTCACATGTTTTTGAAATATTTTTTTCGTATATCTCAAACATGCAGGTTTCCTCACGATATTTTCCTTCACCGCCGAACACACGGTAAATCACCACTTAAAATTGCAATTAACAATTTCATTGGTACCGGGAACCAGGGTTGTTCGCGTACTGTGAATTTTACAGCGAGTGCTTGGCTCCTGAGCTACTACGGCTCAGGGGTTAAGCTAGATGGCGCGACGTAATTTTTAAAAATTACCTTTAAAGATTATTATAGAAGAAACAGTGACGGTAATTTTATACTTTCGCGGTCCCCTCGTTTTTTGGCTCTAAAGTGGAAAAACGTTATTATGGCGGATTTATGAAAAAAAATATGAAAAATATCTCACTTGAAGATTTCATATAGTTTTATTATAGTATCATATAGTTTCATATAGTTTATATATATATATATATATATATATATATATATATATATATATATATATATCTAGCTTGCCAGGCAGACGTCGTTCTGCCCTTTTCAACGACCTTTTGTCATGTCCCATTAAAAATCCTTGAATTCGCAAAAAAAAAATCGTGGGTCACTCATGGGCAAAAAAGCTATCCTATCTCTCAAGTCGGACCAAAATGCACGCGGTGTGCAAATTTGATTAAAATCCGTTAAGTAGTTTAGGAGTCCATCGCGGACAAACAACATGACACCTAATTTATATACATTAAGAGATATATATCGAATATAATTGTTCATAACTTTTTTTGCATAGCATTAAACGAAGTTTATGTATATTTTTTTGTTATTCTACACAAAAAAGAACATAAGAAAAAGAAAACATTGATAAATGTTTGTTTATTAATTTTTTATCTCACTTAAAGTTTTTATATGGTTTTCTGACTTTAAATGTTATCATAAACGCTCTAGAAAATCGAAATAATTATAAAAGTTAATATTTTGGTGTTTTATTGAGTGTAAGATCGAACGAAGCGAGCTCGGGACTTAGGGCATCCCGACTCGGACAGGTTAGGTTAGGTTGGTGGTTATTTTTTTTATAAACCACTCAGAAGCAGTAGCCCCGTTTCACGGGGCTCCGTCGACCGGGCTTCCCCCAACTGCGCTACATTGAGTGGCGGCTTCATTCGCCCAATTCTCTCCCGTGGAAGTGTGATAATGAAATTGTGATGCTTTAGCAGGGGCAAGTGGTGGAGCGTGCGGTGCAGCGTGCAGCGCGGGCAGTGCGGGGTCGGGTGGAGGGGGGGCGCGCTCGCCCGCCGCCGCGCGCCCTCCGATGCCCGCGCCGCAGCCCGTTCAGCCGCACACGCTCGCGAACAAAGCGCCCGTCTCCTCCGGTGAGATTTATCACCTCATTAATTAAACTATATACGTGGTAGAGCCATGCTGCAGTTATATTAATAGTATAGTTGTAGCACGAATGGGTCGGCTCGACCGAGGAAGGACCACGCTCTCACAGAATACCAGCGTCAAATAGTAGCTTAATGCTGCTGTGTTTCGTATGCTGAGTGTACAGAACCGGAGACCCTTCTTACTGGAAACGAGGCATTCCATCTTAGTCCTCACGGGTGATAACTTTCTGCACTTTTGATTTGTAATCGAGAATAGATGTAGATGTCTATGGGCTACAGCAACCACTTACCATCAGGTGGATTGTGTGCTCATTTGTCATCCTATACTATAAAAAAAAAAACTAAGATAGGCAAGACAAGGCTCTCTGGGAACGGTATGCAATGGTGGATTAACTTCGCGGGGGGTCGCGAGTTTAAATCCCGCACTGTACAAGTATTTGTATGGCCTATAATTAACTGTTTCGGGTCTGAATATTTGTCCTTGTGCAATTTATGTTTGCAAACTGCCTCCACGATACAGGTGAAAATCCTAGTGTGAAGTAACGTTTTAAAAAAAAGTTTAAATAGGTTTCGACATACACATAGTACATGGTATATCTATTCTAAATATTAATAGTGACACTATACCTATTCAAAAATGCTGGAGAAAATCATACTAGTCAGTGTGATTTGGCTCCGGCATTAGAGTTCGCGGGTTCGAATCCCGCACGGAACAAGTATTTCTATGGCCTACAAATAGTTGTTCCGGGTCTGGATGTTTGTCCTTGTGCAATTTATGTTTGTAAACTGCCTCCACGATACAGGAGAAAATCCTAGTGTAGGTGTAACGTTAAAAAAAAAAAGAAAATTGCACTGAATAAATCTCTCAAATGACCTTGTTTTGAAAACGATCTAACCATTTTAATAAGATTTTATGTTTAAACTGTAATATTGAAATAACCTAAAATTCTGCTGGAAATATTTCGTGGAATAGTTTAGTTTAGTTTTTCGTTTTCCTACATTCTAGTTACATCTCCTATACCTACTCTAAAGATTTGCGGCAATCATCAATATCGTCACCTCTAGCATTTGATTGTTCGCAGTCAGTAATCAAATTGGTCACAGTATCAGATTTCTCGCAGATTTGAGACGGTCCTCTCTTCCATGGTCCGGATATTTTACATCTGATATATAACTACAAGATATCGTAGAGACCCTTAGTACCTACACTTATGTGACGAAATAGGGTGACAGATTATTTTACGATGTCGCCAAACATAATAGAAATGAGAGAATTATCATATTAGTAGTTTTGTGACTTTTTCGCGTTACGTTGTCCAAATCCTGATGAAATGATATAAAAATTTAAGATTTATTTTATCTTTTTGTATCATGGGTCTTTCATTTTTGCGCCACTATTGCGCCAGTTTGTGAGTTGATGAAGCGCCGTGCTCATCTGCATGTTCAAATGCTTGGGGATCTGGTCAGATCAGCGCTTTTGATTTCGTCCTGGAGATCTGACAAAACCACCTTCTCAAATTTATCAGTGAGAATTAATTTCTTCAAGTCGTCGTGGTTCCCGTGTGATATGTGGCCGAAGTACTGAAGAAATTGAAAGTTGGCAGCCCGGGGATTATCGAAGTTCCCGCGTCATATGTAACTTCTTCTTACATTTCGAATGCGTCACAACCATTCCTTTCAGTGGATTACGATCTGTGATTTGACTGATTATAGATAATCAGTATATATAACAAGTTCTTGCCGTGTTTCTCACAATTGTTATTGTTATACGTCGTTGATCGACAATTACCTTGGTTTTGATTCCGTTAATTCTAGGGCCATAGCCAACATACTTAGCCCATAGTCCAAACTTATTAAGTCAAGTTGGCCTAAAAGATCAGCCAAGAACCATTTTGTTGAAGATAAAAAGATAGAATGCCTCGTTTCCAGTGAAAAGGGTCTCAGATTCTCTACACTCACTATACGAAAATCAACTGGTATTGGGTTGCTATTTTACCCAATATTCTGGGAAAGAATGGTCCTTCCCCGGTCGCGCCGACCCATTCGTGCTACAACCATAATATAGCTGCAGTGTAGCTCACCGTATATAAACTTTATGCCACCTTGCTAACCGTCTAGGGTTTGGCACATTATACTAGATGATCTTTTTTACCATCTGAAAAAAATAGGGCGTAACGGAGTAGAAGTCTATGGCTGTCGGATGTTTTACAAAAATTAAAAACAAAAATTTTGAATGAAATGAATAAACTAATTAAAATCTATAGGAATTCAAATAATATCCACCCTACTTTACTAACGGCAATAACATAAAAATAGTAGGCATCTTTGGCCTTATCAATTCGCAGGATCACAGGCACAAGGGCAAAGTAATTGTTCAAAAAAATTTTCAAACGTAAAATTTTTTTCAACTCTATTTATTTCCAAACAGTAAAAAGTAATTCAGTATTCCCTCTTGTGTGTTAAATAGGGTTGGTTGAAATTACATAATATCCTTGCCAAACACCTTTTTGTAATTTGAAATAACCATACCGGACAGAAAAACCTAAAGTTTTTCTGTCCCATCAAAGCCATAGCTGGATTCATATAGACTCCAAAAGAGGCACTCTTAATTTTCTTAGAATTTCCAATAGTTTTTGCCACTTTTCTTTGACTTTGCTTACCATGTAAACTTTATATGTAATTGGTTGTATGCAAGATTAAATAAACAAGATACTAGACTTTATATAAATATATATATATATATATATATATATATGGTGATAAAAATTAATTAATAAAAATCTCAAACATTTTGTCATCTTTATCTTTTAAATTCAAAATGTGTGGTAATGTATTATTTTAACTGATTTTACTGCGCACGTACATATTCGTAAGATTCGATCGGTAGGCAAAAACTTTGTTCCCCAAAAATCACATTCAATTTAGGATAATTTCAAATAAAAGTAGAAGCCTTGTTTACTCGTGTTTTCGAAAACTGTACCAACTTGTATATATATATATATATATATATATATATATATATATATATATATATATTTAAACTTAATTTTAAAATTTGGCTACTCTTTACAAAATAACCCTGTTTATACCGCGACTTTGACGTTCCTTAGGGACCTTTACCTTACCTATGATCAGCAGTGGAATTCTCAAGGCGTCATGATATTAATGATTCTATTAAATATTAGTCGTAGACAGAACACATGTCCAAATTTAAAACTGTCGACCATCAAAACAGCATTATGCTTTACAAACAACGTCCATAATTATAGGTCCTTACATATAAAATTGATGTTTTGTACGGGGGGAATATAAAGTAAATTTTTTTTAAATATATTCAATTAATCAAAGTATGCACCGTTGTTATCTATGCACTTTTGCCATCTCATAGGTAGTTCATTGATCCCTTTACTAAAAAAACCAAGGACCTTTGAAGGCGGTTTGGACTGCCGCATCGGAGTTGAATTTTTTTCCTTGTAAGAAATTATCCAAACTCCGGAAAAAATGGTAATCTGTTGGAGCAAGGTCCGGGGAGTACGGTGGATGTCGCAAACATTCCAATTGTAGCTCATCTAACTTAGTGGCTGTTTGTTGTGCAGTGTGTGGTCTTGCGTTGTCGTGAAGCAGCAGTGGCCTACAGCGATTGACCAGTCTCGGTTGTTTAGCAGCTAGTCCTTCCTTCACGGTTTGCAGTTGCTAACATTAGATATCTGCAGTAATCGTTTGGCCAGGTTTTAGAAAGCTGTAGTGAACGACACCGGCGCTAGTCCATCAAACATTACACAAGTAACTTTTTCTGGGTCAATTTTCATTTAGGGCAGGATTTGGCTGGGTCTCCAGGGTTCAGCAATTGCGACGAGTGCTTCCGATTATCGTACAGTATCCACTTTTCCTCACAAGTAATGATTTGATTTAAAATCCCTTCATTTTTGTGTCGGTTGAGCAAAGTAACACAGCAGTTGATTTGCAAGTTCGATTCATTCAATTCATGAAGTACCCATCATTCAAGTTTTTTTACTTTCCCGATTTGCTTTAAGTGGATTAATACAGTTTTATCACTTACTCCGAAGCCTGCAGCTATCTTTGAAGTGCTTTGTGATGGATCCGCTTCCACAATAGCTTTTAATTCTTCATTTTCAACTTTAGTCTCCGGCCGTCCACGGGGTTGGTTCTGAAGGTCGAAATTTCCAGAACGAAAACGTTGAAACCAAAAACGTACCGGGCTTTCTTTTGTGACACTATCTTCGAGCTGTTTCTGCAGCACTGGTGCCATGGTAGAACTCGTACTCGTAAACATACCGATATTTCATGTTATCTATTGTGCGGTAATAAGCGACGCCAAAGAAAAAATAATGAGGAAAAAAATTAATGACTGTTTTCAAAACACCAGTACCATGTACCAGCTAAATGAATTTATAAATTTGAATTTGGACTTCTTAACCAAAGAGGAGATATTTCAGATCAAAGTGGTCAGTACGACAAAACGCTAATTTCATATGTAAGGACCCAATTATTTATGTTATGTTTCATTGCATAACATTCTGTTTTATAAGTTATTGTAAACATATTTATTTAACTTCGGTACAATAAACTTTTTGTTTTTATTATTGTATAATTACGAAATACACAAAAGATAAACTGTCACTAAGTTGATTTATGGCAAATTGAGTAAAAATAAGCTCAAAGCTTTGTGCTATCTCTCATTGTACACGAGCAATTTATGTTCGATCTCCGCTTGCACCATATAATGAACGTATGTACACTGTTACACTATATATAATATTTTTACGTTTTATGTGATCTTATCAAGCAAGAACGTACCGTACGGCGTCGTTACATCGGATCCGGTAAGGAGTACCAATGTACTTTGGTAGCCCCGCATGGTTGAACGCGTGTTAGACTTTTTTAGACTTTGTTTTAAATCCCAATACTTGTGCAACATACATAAAACGACCAGGAAGACTTCTCATCTCAAACGAAAGAAATTGACCTAATTTCTTTTAGATATAATATTTCTAATTATTCAAGAAATAAGATTAAATTAAACGTGATAATGTACATAAAATACTTCCATTCTAAGTGCAAATTAATAATATTTTTATTGTGTTCTTATTTATTGATAATATAAAACAATAAATATTGTAATCGTAAAATAATTTCTCTATTGTATACGATAAGCAGTGCTTTTTATAGGTCATCCTAGTTCAGTAGTACACAGTCGGATACTAGGGCAATTACAATGAAACGAAATGGGATCAAATATTTATTTATAAAAATATCATTAAATTGAAACATATTGAGGAGAAATAAATCTTTAGCAATTTAATAGTGTTGTATGCAACTCTGAAACAGTTTTAGATAACCTTTGTCTACCCTGGACTATATGAAGCTCGCTATATCAACTTTATTGCCGCTATAATTCACGTTGCGACTGCTTTATAAGCTCATGTCCTCGATAAATATAATAAAAAAGGAAACATTATTTCGGTTAAAATAAAAACGTGCAATTGTGTTATATACAATAACGGCGTAAATAGTTTATTCAACTGTTGAATAAATGTCAATAATAAAATTATTACACTATGCCAAATGATTTATTGATGTTTTACCTACAAACACACTTTCACAATAGCCTGCCCTCGTTTTGAAGCATTTCATTTCATCACTCTTAGTCATTGTCTTAAGAACGATATTCTTATGTTGCGGTTTTGTGATTGCTTGGAATTAATGAGATTAACATTGAGATTAAATAAAATATAAAAAAATGAAAATATGTTTTAGTCATATGTACTGTGAACTATTTTGTTTTGTTTTACGACTAGATATGGTTTTCTTGAAGTAGTTGCTTGCATTTCATATCTACAGCCGTAAGGCTGGTAATATTGTTCATCATCATCATCATCATTACAGCCCTTCACAAGTCCACTGCTGAACATAGGCCTCCCCCCAAGTAATGCCACAAAGCACGGTCCTGAGCCACCTGCATCCATCGACTTCCTGCATATCTTACCAGGTCGTCACTCCATCTAGTGGGGGGTCGCCCTACACTACGCCTACCGGTACGAGGCTGCCACTCGAGAACCCTTCTTCCCCATCGGTTATCGGTTCTTCGAGCTATATGGCCGGCCCATTGCCACTTCAGCTTACTAATCCGTTGGGCTATCCGTTTGCCGTGTAGTGGCGGTTAAGAATATCCACTACCCCATATCTTCCCGTGGGTGTCGTAAAAGGCGACAGAGGGAGACAGGCAGGAGATGGGCAGCAGCATCTTCCTGATAACAGCAACTGTACGATAAAAAAAAAACTGCGGTTGCCAACCCGCTCGCCAAGTGTGGCAACTATGGCAATATACCCCCCATGAACAATTACACAAATAGACGGCCCCCAGTCCCCGGCGGCTCCGCTATTCCTGGCTACGGTGGTAATGATGTTGTCAATCATTAATCTATGGGATCCGAGTTCCGTATTTTTGTATGAATATCATGCATTAGACAATCATCACTTTAGATAATAAACTATCCTAATATTCCTCCTTACAGAAGGAAAGAAATAAATAAAGATTTTATTTAGGCACATAACATTAACGCACAGAGCTTTATACTAATTTATAACAAAATTACGAAAGCCTAATAAATTTGGCTTTGTATTTCGAAGGTATGCCAAAAAAGTTGTATTGAAACTGCAACGCAGATTTTCAGTCGTAGACAGAGAAACCTATAGACTAATGATTAGCGTGGCCTCGATTGAGAAAGGACGATAACGTAGTTTTAGGTTAGGTACAATAATCTTTATGACTTTTAAACATATTTAGATAAAATTTTTAATTGTTCTAAGAACTGAACTGAACAAGATTCACCAATCCTTAAGCTCACAAAACACTTTTTTTCTCACTTAAACCAACTTGTAAACTCCTTAGATCGCTACGAACTGTCAAAGTTGTTTAGCAAAGTGTAGTTTGCTAAACAAAAAAACCGGCACGGAGAAAGGGACAAACAATCACACTGCTCTGTCTCATTTCTATGCAAGACGTATGCGTAAATCTATCTTTTTCGTGTGCGAATGCGAAAAAAGGCCTCAATTTGTCCTATAGGTTTCTCTGTCTACGTTTTCAGTAATGACCAATATCAATATATCATGATATGTATATTTGCAGCGGAATCGTCGGACACGACGTGGGCGGGGGAAGAGGACTTCGTGGTGGTCGAGGCGACGGACAGCGGGGCGGCGGAGTGCTCGGGGCAGTCGTCGGGCTCCGAGGCGGCGCCGCGGCCGCGCTCGCTGGCGCTGCCGGCCGGCGCCGCGCCCGCGCCCGCCGCCTCTGCACCCCCCGCGCCAGCCGCGCCGCCCGCACTCCCCCGCGCACGCACAACCCGTAGATTCGCACGCCGCCACAATACGAGTGCGTAGTGCCTTTATTTGTCTCCGTATCATGCCTATATGATGATGCCTCGTTGGTCTAGTGGTTGTAGTAGTGCAACTGCTGATCGTGAGGTCCCGGGTTCGAATCCCGGGTCTGGCCAAAAAAATCAATTATTGAATTTTTCTGTCAAAAAATTCTCAGTAGCTGCCGGGTGCCTCGGAAAGCACGTAAAGCCGTTGGTCCTGCCCCTGATCTCTCTCCGGTCGTGTCGGTTTACCGTCCCATCGGAGTATGAGAGTGAGGGAATAGAGAGTGCACCTGTGCTTGCGCATACACTTGGGCACTATAATCCTGTCCTGCGCTGATGGCTAGCCTCCGTTGAGGCAGTGGCAGCTCCACCGCGGCCGAAATTCTGTCTGGAGGACATTAATTTTATGTGATGATGATGCCCTTTTGACGTGAATACGTCTTTAAATTTGCTTCCATAGTGGAAGACGATTTAGAAATCTGATTATAACAAAATTGGGAGTTTGGAGTAGCAGCTACATATCTACCATCTACATACAACGTTTAATTACACCGATCGATAGCTGAAGGATCAGAGAATTCGTTACGTTGAGTGACTACCACAACGCGCTCGGCTAAGCCGCCATTTTGAGATCATTTTTTGCGTAAAAAAATTATTTTACGTAATCACGTAAAACATTTTTATTACGGAAGAGAAGGCAAACAAGCATACGGCTCCTTATTACTGTCCCAATGATTATATTCCAACACGCACGAGGTGTCGTGGATGAGAGAGACAGTATTAAGTGCAAGCGCTGTCGCAGAGGCACTCACACACGCGTGCTGGTTATGTTGCTGCGATAATATCATAAGTAGGATACAATGTCCAAGACGCAGTCACAACACAACCAGACCTGAAAGGGGGTTTGGAGAGCGCGCGGGGGGGGGGCTTTTTTTCTTGTTTTTGGCCTTTATTTTTTTTAATTTTTTAAATTTTTATTTTTTTTTTTTTCTTTAACTCTTTCATAAACTTTAGCAAAATGGCGGTAAATTTTTTTTAGGGGGGAATTATTCCGCTGCTGTCTGTTTTCGTTTTACTCTACTTTTTTCTGCCAAACGCACCCAATATGGGTATGTTCCGAAATACAACGCAGTGTACTGTCCAATGCAAATGACGTCATCATTTGACAGTTTGACACTTTATTGTACTAGCGTGCCGCCGCCATATTGTGTCGGATATCCGGCCATAATAAAACAATTTTTAATTGTGTGTTTGCCGAATAAAGCATGCCAGAATTTGTTTCTATTTATTCAAATACAAAAAATTATATAATAATTGATGGTATATCCATTAGGAGGATATAATGATTTTTAGAGCACAAAATGACAAAATAATCGCCAACACTTTTCCAAATGGCGCAAAAGTATGACGTCATATACTGTCCAATGTTTTGGAACGAATCACCAGTATAGCGTCGATTCATGACGTCATTTGCATTGGACAGTACACTGCGTTGTATTTCGGAACATGCCCAAAGTTACCATAATTAAAGTAATGAAAGAAAGTTATTTACAGCCAATAACTATTTTTTATTAATCTATGAATGACATTATTCACAGATTTATTTCCTATTGTCAAAAGTGAAAATTAATTACAGGCACTGTTTAATGACCTTTTTTTTAGAAATCAGTTGAAAATCCTAGACTAGATTGAGATTTTAGCATGTGTTAAATAGTAACTAATTATCTATTTATTTTTATTGCAGAATCCAGTCAGTCTTACATCAAATGTGCCCAGGTCGCAACCAATCGACGTGCTCCGATCAAACAACAATCGAAATACAACTAATATCGGATCACTTTCTCCGCCTTCTGTTAGTATTCATTCTATTTTTTTTTTCTAATTAAAGCAAACTAGTTTTTGTACCCTAAATGGTCAAAGCGAAAAGATTAGATGAAGGGTTTAGATGCACTCTCAGAGATTCCGGATAAGTCATATGTTAAGAGTCCATAACCAGTGGTAATTAATAATTACCTATGCGGGTCCCGAGTTCGAATACCAGCCGGCGTTATTGCTGTTATTATGCATCGTATTATGTCTGCAGCATGATTGGATCGGCTTGATCGGAGAGGGAACACAATCGCAAAAAACACCAGCGTTAAATAGCAGCGTCATGCTGATGTGTTTCATAATGGTGAGTGACGTGAACTAAAGATTCTTTTGCTGGTGACTAGTTATTTAATCTTAGTTTTCAATGTTCTCTCTCCGGTCGTTTCGGATTACCGTACTAATAGGATTATGAGTGTCAGGGAATAGAGAGTGCATCTGAATTCGATCATGCACTTGGTCCACAGTCTATGAAAAGGCACTCTAGTACTGTCCTGCGCAGATAGTTAGACTCCGTTGAGATTCGCCGCCGTGATTGAAATTTGCTCTGGAGGACATTATAGATAGTATACAATCCGTGCGGATAAGGAATGGGATTAGAAATGGCGCCTCATCGAGTCTTCAAGTAGGTACATTAATTTTAAAATAAAATTTATAACTAGCGACCTATTTAAAGTTAAAATATAATCATTAAATAAAATATGTATTTTATTTCATCTCATCAATATTTCTATTTTCATAAAATCTCAAAAATTATGGGATAAATTTTAATCTAGATCACTCCTGGTACTCATACTCTCTATTTGTTCGTAAAGTTTTATCACAGTCGTTTCACCCACTCCGAAGATTAGTTCGGAAGTTAGACTGAAGTTAATGAACATACGAGAGACGCATATCCTATGTTTTTTTTTTGTAGTCCTTACCGCTAGGTGTTAGTATAGATAGCGACAGTGTTTAACCGCGTGGGTGGTAAACAAAGAATGTTTTTGATGTTGTTGGTGATGTGGTGTGCAGATGCCGTTCACGATGGGCACGCCGCCGTCGACGCGGCGCCGCAGCGCATCGGGCAGCTCACCGCCGCCATCGCTGTGGCAGGTCTCCCCCACCAACGCCAGCCCCCTCCGCAGATCAGGTACCACGCTACTTACCATAGAATGCTATAATACACAATGGCTGTCAACCTTATTATGTAGGAGGATTGGTGTCGCCGGGAGCACACATACAAGGAATTATGTCGTATTATCAGTTATCACTACTATAAACACATTTTAGACTTTTGATTAATGTTTTTAACACATAAATATTTCTTTATTTTTGTTTCTAATATTCACAAAATATAAATAGTTTCGACTTACTGGTTGTAGAATATGTCTCCTTTGTTTAAATTCATTTAAGTAATTATTGCACAATTTGCCATTTTTTTAAATAATTTGCATGCAGTGACGCTTGACACGAAAATTGGAAACGATTGATTGTGTTGACGTTTATGCGTGTGAATTGACGTGTTAGTGTCATTTTAGTGGCTACGCGGGCTCCGCCCACTCCCCCGTTCTATTATGTGTGTATTATAGTATTCTATGCTACTAACCATACTGCTTTTTTGAAACTCGATGAATCAAAAAAGGGACAAACATATAGATCTATAGGATTTAGCCTGCAAGAGAATGATACAGTATACAATGTTTCCTGTTGTCTCAGTGTCCTCTTTGTGCGAATCTTTAATTAATATAACTTTTTCTGTTAAAATAAACAGTAAAAAATTTACAAAATGATGAAATAAGTAAAATTAGCCATATCCCCAATTTATATTGAATTAGTCGTGTTTAGGCCATCTAGCGTTTATTTTACGTACCACTTTGAGAGTCAATATAGAATGAAGAAGATGACGCTATTACAAAGCAATTTTACCCGCAATTTTCTGAAGGTTTCACTTTTACTGCATGTGAATATTTATGTAATATTTACCGAATCATTTGATACGAGCGAGGCCTTCAGCCAAAAAATTATTAAATACATCAAATTTTGTAATACATTATTCAAAATATAAATATGTTAATATATTTGTTATTGCGTAAAAAAGACAATATAAAAAGCAGATAATTAAAAACAACGACCAAAAAATAAACAGTTAAAAATTTACAAAATGATGAAATAAGTAAAATTAGCCATATCCCCGATTTATATTGAATTAGTCGTGTTTAGGCCATCTAGCGTTTATTTTACGTACCACTTTGTGAGTCAATATAGAATGAAGAAGATGACGCTATTACAAAGCAATTATACCCGCAATTTTCTGAAGGTTTCACTTTTACTGCATGTGAATATTTATGTAATATTTACCGAATCATTTGATACGAGCGAGGCCTTCAGCCAAAAAATTATCAAATACATCAAATTTTGTAATACATTATTCAAAATATAAATATGTTAATTTATTAGTTATTGCGTAAGAAAGACAGTATAAATAGCAGATAATTAAAAACAACGACCAATCAATCTTACGGAAAGTGTTGTTATTTATCAAGTAAATTGTATGTCAACAAAACTGAAAAATGTAAATTATGTTATATTTTATTAAATAAAACATATAAGAAGATAAATTATTCAGTTTACTTTCATTATAATGCACATCATACATCAATTTGTACAATGATATGGTGATCAGCTGTGTAAATCATATCAGAATTTTTCTTAACATTACTGGCCTACCGATATATCGTTGCACTCTTATAGATGCAGTTATTATTATTCACCGTATATTCATAATATTACCAGTTACAATTAGTTCGGAATAGTCAATATTATAACGGGTTTGGCGACTATCAAACTAATACAAACGAAACGTTTGCAAACTGCAATTAATGAATAATATTATCATTGTATTTTACTACTGATATTAGCGATAATCTTGTGGATAGTCTAGTTTTTAAGGTTACTATGATAGCGAGACTGTCTATCTATATTTCAGTAACTCAAAAATTAACTATCTCTGTACTCTAAGGAAAAATTGGGTAAGATAACGGAAATAACATTAGATAACGATTAGATAACGATTTTACGTGGTAGAGCCATGCTGCAGTTATATTAGTAGTATAGTTGTAGCACGAATGGGTCGGCTCGACCGGGGAAGGACCACGCTCTCACAGAATACCAGCGTGAAATAGTAGCTTAATGCTGCTGTATTTCGTATGGTGAGTGTAGAGAACCGGAGACCCTGGAAACGAGGCATTCCATCTTAGTCCTCACGGGTTACAACGCATCTGCATTTTGATTCGTAATCGAGGATAGATGAAGATGTCTATGGGCTACAGCAACCACTTACCATCAGGTGGACTGTGTGCTCGTTTGTCACCCTATCCTATTAAAAAAAATTAACGTCCTAGATAGCGAGAACTTGACCGTCATCGAATTGCAGATTGTGCTATTGTTGATAAAATAATGGTTTAAAGTGGATTTTAAGTGAATAAATGTCTGCGCATATAAACTACGAGGGGTGATCCAAAAGTAATGATAATCGATTATTTCCTGTGCACATTAAAATCCAAAAAAAATTTTTGCTTGCCTATGTACCTAGTAGATTAGCATAAAAAATCTTATAAATAGGCTACGATTCCCAAGATGTACATTAATTTCAATACGAATCATCCCAGAGATAATATCAAAATGGTGAAAAACGAAATTAGAGCTGTCATCAAATACCTCCGTTTAAAAAAATGTCTGCCAAAGACACACAGCAACATATTATATAACTGAGGTCACAGGGACCTCATATGGCAGTTTTCAAAGAATCCTTGCGAACGAATTACATATGAAAAAGAATTCTGCACGTTAAATACCGAGAATGTTAAGCGACGAACAAAAGAAAAAACAGTTCGACATTTCGGGGGCGAGTCTCGAAAAGCTTCAAGCAGAGAGGAAATTTTTTGTCACGTTTCGTGACTATGGACGAGACCTGGATGCACCATTTTGATCCTGAAACAAAACAACTATCATTAGTTTGGAAATGAGCCTTCTCACCGACGTCGAAAATATTCAGTTTCAAATTTGGCGGGAAAGGTTATGGCATCAGTTTTTTGGGACGCTAAAGAAATAATTATGATAGAATATTTGGAAAAGGGAGCCATTATTTTGGACTCCTACTACGCAGGCCAAATAAATATATTGCAGGAGGCTATTAAGGCGATAATATGATGAATGATGACGAGAAAATCCTAGAGCTGAAAGAAGATGTAGACAACTTGCGCTGGGATTTATAGGATTATCTGAGTCACGTCCACAAGTTAACAACGTTGTAAAGATTGTGAGTGTATCAACGAGGGTTGTGTACCTTAATCTTATGGCTGTTAGATGAAGCTGCAATCTTCAGTAGATTTGACAGCATACAGTCAACTGAATAGACAGATCTCCAAATGCGTCCAACGACGAGACTTACCCAACTTCCATATAGCTCGTATTGAAGAAGCGATCGAACGGAACCAGGGCTCCAAAGTCTTTGCCAAATATCTGTCTGCCAGAAAGAGCTAACTGCCGAAGCTGAAGACCGAGTGTGGCAGCATCTTTCCGGGATGTTTCCATCTGAGATTTTGATTGAGATTGAGAGGTTCTATGAGCAGCTGTACACGTCATCCAAGAGCAAGTCTTATCCGGTATTATTTCGATGATATCCCGGACGTCAGTCTGAGCAAAATTGTGTATCCAATTACAGCGGAGCTCTCTGAAAGTGGGTGGAAAACCGGTACTTGAATTAGTTCAGAAGCTCTTTGATTCCATCCTCCATGGTGGGACTACTCTAGAGGCGTGGAGCAGAAGTGCGGTGGTCTTGTTCTTCAAGAAAGGAGACAATGTTCTCTTGAAGAATTATAGACCGATTTCCCTTATTAACCGTGTCTTCGTATTAGAAATAATCATTACGAATCGTCTTACACGCAAACTCGACGACTTTCAGCCTCCCGAATAAGCCGGTCTCCGAAAAGACTTTAGTAACATAGACCACATACATACCCTTCGGCAAATTGTACAGAAGACCGAAGAGTACATTCTGCCATTTGCCTTGTGTATGTGGACTATGAGAAGGCCTTTAATTCTCTCGAAATTTGGGCTGTGCTATAGTCCCCTCAGAGGTGCCAAATTAACTGTCGTATATCGAAGCGCTGAAGTGTTTGTATAATAGAGCTCTGATGTCAGAGTACAAAGCTGAAGTACGAAACCTATCCAACTCCAGAGAGGTATAAACAGGATGATGTTATATCCCCGAAACTTCACTGCTCTATTTGAAGACGTTTTTAAGCTACTGGACTGGAAATAATGCGGTATTACCATTAATGGCGAGTACAGCTTCGATTGTTGGACTTTGATGTATTTTGTGGGCGTGTGTGCAAAAACTTTTAGCGTACAAAAGTAGAGTACAATGCGTTTGCAACAGGATCGTCGCCGCCGGTGTCGCTGGCGCTGAAGGCGAGCGGCGAGGCGGCGTCGCCGAAGCGCGGCGCGCTGCCCGACGCACTGCTGCGCGGCCTCAAGCTGCACCAGCCCGACCCGCCCGTCTACATACCCAACCTGCAGGAGGACACCATACTCGCGGTACCTACATACACATACCACCTGCATCAACCATACTTTCATACATCAACAGAATATATGATTTCTTAAATTTACGCGAATTCATTATACATATTCTGATTGAATAAAACTAAATTTACGGATTAAAGATTACGGATTATGCGCGATAGATAGACGCGATAGAATCCGTAAATTTAGTTTTATTCAATCAACAGAATATGTTTACATAGAATAACAACTGCATGAATTGTTTTATTTAATGTAATTAGTTACAGATACACATACGTAATTTTATGCAATATAAAACATTCAGTGTTTACGTTCACACTGCCAATGTCAAACACTTTTTTAATTGAGTGAGATTACAGACTATTGTCTGTGATCAAAAAGTCGCACATAATCATTGAGCTATTATGTACTACGTACTAGAGGCGACACTGCATTCAGCTACTCTGTTCCACTCAACTGCGGTGCATATACCGCACTCAGTCACTCGCTAGGCGCTTATAGAGTTATCACGTGTTGTGTTGATTTAAAAAAAATCTCTTGATAAAAATATGCCGTCGTGTGTACTTAGATATTGCACAAATAATTCAAGAAATGTCAGTAAAAACCAAGGAATTACTTTTCATCGGTTAATAAGATACTTAATTAATAAAAACGCATTATGTATTAATAATAAAACAAATTATTCCTAAGACGCCATCTCGCGTCATGGAATATAGATTATGAAATTAATATGTTCAGATGCGACATTTCTGTGGGTACTTAAGTATAGGATGAATATATTATTAACACATTTTTTTTGTAGAAACATATGTAAGTTATTATAATTTGGCAAAATGTTTCATATTTAAATCTGCTTATTATTCTTTTATTTTATTTTTGGGTTTCCACATCAAAGTCAAAGTGGTATAAATTCGTCCATATTTAACTCTCGCTTGCCCAGCATTTATGAACGACTTTTATTCTAATTAAAATAAATATATTTGTAATTAAAATGTTATGTTAATAAGTTCTGTCAAACATACATTTAGTATGTTTTTTATATTTCACTTAGATACCTTTTAAAATATTCAGATAAAAATATCATTAAAATGTAATTGTGATATATAATATTATATTCAATAAGCAAATATAATAAAGAAAATAAATGACAAAATTTAAATATTGTTCTCGATATAATTTACCCATTTAACAATACAATCTGCTATTACCTACGGATCATTCTACCTATGTTTATTCTATGTAAAAAACCAACCGCGCGAACACAGAGTAGCGCACATTTTTTGTTTGAGATAGCTGTTCTACTTACGTACTAGGTAAGTACATATTACTTCAATGCACCAAGTAAAGATTGTCATCTAAGAATTATAAAATGTTGCCCACAAAATGCCAGTTCAACCGAATGCGCTGTGAATTAGTGTGGATGTTCCTTTGTCAATAGTCTGAATTATTACTAAAAGGCATTTATTGTATATTTTGTATGTTACATACATATCTGTGTTCAGTGTTTTATATATATTGATATGCAGTTGAAAATGGTATACAGCCTTGAATTAACAATATTAACAATTTTTTTTCATTTGCAGGAGGAGCATAGCAAAGTTTTCTCTCAGTTGAACTTCGTGCTTATGCTCGCAGAATTATTATCCGATCTTGCCGTCTCATGTGGAGCCCCTATCGCAGCTCTCATGGACACATCAGATGGTAAATATCTCAAATTCTTTTTGGTGTCGTGCATTTTGAGTTTATGTGATATTGTAATAAAATGCGTAACCCACAGGTTAAGCACCTAATTATTACGTTCTGGTGTACCCAATCTAATGAGACTGCTTAAGAGAGGAATGCCTTCTGATGTACCCAATATTTGTGCAAAAACACAAATTGTTGATTTTAGGGTCTATTACTTCATGATGTCTTTGTTCTTGATGCTGCATCACAAGTACTGATTATGTTAATAGGCACCTGTAAAAGATAAAAGTTAGTAAAGTTACAGCCTATATACGTCCCACTGCTAGGCACAGGCCTCCCCTCATTTCTGAGAGGGTTTTAGGCACAAAAGTGTCCGCCGCGCTGCCCCAATGCGTGTTGGCGAACTTCACATGTCTTCGAAATATAATTTTTTCTTATTCCTCAGACATGCAGGTTTCCTCACGATGTTTTCCTTCACCGCCGAGCACGTGGTAAATAAGCACTTAAAATTGCAATTAACAATTTCATTGGTGCCGGCGGGGATCGAACCCGGGTTACTCGCGTTCTGTTATATTTACAGCGAGCGTTAACTCTTAACTGGATTGTTATGTAAATAGTGTATATACTAGCAATTGCAATGTGTAAACAAATTTTTAATTAATTATAGTGGGAAGAAGTTAATTGCTGGACAAAAGCCTTACTGATATTGTGCCAGTAGCTATGTATTGCGTGAATGAGTTGTCTATATAATCTGTACAGAGCCAATACCTCCGCATTGGTAAATGCTGTGTTGGTGTTGTTGTGGGCGACCAATTGATTGTAATAAATCAGTTTGGAAATTTCGAACTTGAATTGCTGCAGTTGGCGATAAGCAATATTATTTGTGCAAGGGTATCGGCTATGCGTTAATCAGTATTGATAATCAGCTCGTCGGATAATTGATTATATTAATCATTTATATTCTACTGATTCGTATAAAGTAATGGGTTTTTACTGAATTCATGTTTTGATTCAACGTTGAATGTAGTTTTATAAGATTTGATCAAGTGATTAAAATAATTCCGTACACTTACATACAAAGTATGTTATATATAATATATCTTATATTGATTAAATATTTAAATAAATATACTTGGTATTAAATTTATATTTAAATAAATATACTTGGTGTATAATGCGAACCAGAAAATAATTGATAATTAACATAACTTGTAGCGAAGGGCAAATCTTTTAAGTAATGCAGTTTATTTGGCACAATTTCACATCACACTGCGGCTATATTATTATTGTAGCACGAATGGGTCGGCTCGATAGGGAAAGGACCATGCTCTCACAAAATACCAACATGAAATAGCAACTCAATGCTGCTGTATAATTTCGTGTAGTGAGTGTAGAGAACTGGAGACTTAGTTCTCAGGGGAGACAATACATTTGCATTTTAATTCTAAATCAAGGCTAGATGTAGATGTGTATAAGGCAGCAGCGCCCACTTATCATCAGGTGGACTGTGTGCTCGTGTTTCCACTCTATATTGCACTGGTCGCAATGGACGGCTGGGTGTACTATTGGTGGGGTACGTCGTACGTGCGTAGTAAGATTGTTGAAGAAAGAAAGAACCATTTATTTGATAATAACACTTTACACACAATTTAAGAAATTTAAATATAAATTACAATGGGCAAAGAATATACATGCGCAGGTGTAAGACTGCTTACGCATTAAAAATTATTTAGTAAGCAGAACATGCATGATGTTAATTAATAAGGAACAAAAAAAATTTAATAAAAAATTTAAAAAAAGAATTTAAAGATAAAATGTGACATCAAATAGGTTTCCAACTCAGCATAATGCTGCAGAGGCAGCGCTGGTTTTCAGTTGGAACCTTGTGACTTCACTGACGAGTCGGTGTGTGAACCTCGAATTACGCGTAACTACAACTTATAGACTAATAGTAATTAGGCAGTGGGTTAAAGAGTGGTGCTAACGGACACAGTTAACACAGACATACTGTATTAATATCAATATAAATGGTGTGTAGTACATACACTATACCTATATTTACACATAACATATTTGGCTCCATGGGAAAGACAAATCAAAGTAGCAATAAAATTAATGATTTTAGTACATATATATATATATATATATATATATATATATATATATAATTTAGATTCTGTACTCAAAGAGACACGCCATGTTACGAGAACTCCTAGATATTTTTTTAGAAAATAAAAAAGTAAGATTAAAACTAAATAAATAATAAATGATCATTCATCACATATGTAATTGATATAAACAATAATAAATAATATTTGAACATGGTGTTACAAAACAGTATAAATATAATTTGGTTGTTGCGGTGTGTCGCAGAGCGGTGCGGGTCGAGCGTGCGGCTGGGGCTGCTGGTGCAGGCCATGCAGGCGCTGGCGGCCGGCCTGCGCCTCGCCGCCGCGCACTACCGCTCGCGCACGCTGCAGCCCACGCCGCAAGTGCGCAACGGTAATCGCCTCACTACCTCACTGCCTCACATTCACGCACACAACGCACATACACTTTCTTATCTTCTCGAATGTCGCGGGCATTTTTTTGCCAATATGGCGCATCTGTCAAGCGCTTCCTGAAGTACTTCCACACTACTTCCTGATGTTCATTAAAATTCACACTATTTCCAAGAACATTTTGTAAGAAAGTTTGTATAGCTATCAGATTATGTATAACTTGAATACAGGTTTACTTCGAAAGCGATACTAATTTGAAAGAGAAAATAGGAAAAGTGTTTTTCCCCCAATTTTTTGCAAAGGTGTAATAATAATAATTTAAAGCCTTTATTCCAAGTACTATTTGTTATACTTGTACGTCAAAAGCATATTTAACTATAAATAATTTAAAAAAATAAAAAAAACTTTTTTCATGAATTTTTGTTTACGACAAGGTCCAGAAAGGCGCACTTAGTTCTACTCGAAAACGGAACAAAAAATACTTACTTTTTTTTTGTAAACCTCCCGTTTCCAAAAACATTATTAAATCAAATTTAGACAAAATCAATCATGCAGATATATATGTTATATATATGTGTATGTCATATACATATATATATATATATATATATATATATATATATATATATATACACATCCCATAACTTATTGTACGTCCACTGTGGCCAATTTTGCATATAATGTGGCGTCAACCTGCTTACGACGTCCAATATACGGACGTCAAATAGGAGACCTAGCGCAATGTTCGCAAATTGTCATTCTGATCACAGAAATGTCAAAATCTAAAAAAAAAATTGGACGTCATTTTTCTTCCAATCTTGCTGTACTGAATTTTTACGTAGTTCCTCTAATTTTCGTTGTAAAAATAATAGCGCTGCTGCCGATTTGTGAATACTTTCATTTATGGGCGTATTTGACTTCCGCACAAAATTAGGAAATGCGACGTTGCCGTTCCGTCACCGTTGCCAACGTGTTACTTGTATTTAGTGATATATATGGTTATGACTGCCTCGTCGGTCTAGTGGTTGTAGAAGCGCGACCGCTGATCGTGAGGTCCTGGGTTCGAATCTCAGGTCGGGCCAAAAAATCAATTATTGAGTTTTTCTGTCAAGAAATTCTCAATAGCTGCCCGGAGTCAGGAAGTTGGCGGTGTATTCGCCCTGTGCCTCGGAAAGCACGTAAAGCCGTTGGTCCTGCGCCTGATCTCTCACCGGTCGTGTCGGTTTACCGTCCCATCGGATTATGAGAATGAGGGAATAGAGAGTGCACCTGCGGTTGCGCATACACTTGGGCACTATAATCCTGTCCTGCGCCGATGGCTAGTCTCCATTGAGGCAGGCCGCTGTGACCGTAATTCGGTACCATAGACCACATGTATAATTTTCAATTTGATTACAAAATTACAAACAGTCACTTTGTCTTACATATTATGTGATCTATGAGAAAGTTTGTAATTCCATGGAAATTTAGCTAGTACTACATTCCTTCAGCGGTGCCGGATTGACTGTCAGTATATTAATGTGCTGAAATGTTTGTATATAGTATGATAACGTTATATCCCCAAAAGTAATTACCGCTGCATTGGAAGGTATTTTCATTAAAATGATGAGTACTACAATTACTCGTATTAGATTTATAGATTATATAATCAGTATGGCAGATTCGCTGGAGGACCTTAGCACTATGTTCAATGACTTTAATATTGTCTCCCAACAAATAGGTCTTAAGATGAATATGAACAAGACAAAGATTCTAAATTCATGTCACACCTATGCTGGCAGTTGTGAATACCACGTTCAAAGTTATTACCTAGGACTTATTATCTAATTAGATAAATCCAACTTCAACCCAGAGGTCCATTGACGAATCCAATTCGGTAAAGTAGTGTTCAGATGATAACTACACATCTTCTCTTAAAATTTTTACATAGTAATTAGCTGTAATCTGACTTGATTACAGCTAATTAATGGCTGCTAATTAATGGATTGGCTTGACTGGAGAAGGACCGTGCTTAAAGTTTAATGCTGCTGTGTTTTGTATAGTGATTGTAGAGAACCGGAGACCTTATTGCTGGTAACGAGGCATTCTAAATTAATCGTCAGGAGGGACGATTTATTCACATTTTTCTTAATTTGGGATAGATGTAGATGTCTATGGGCAACAGCATCTGCTCATCATCCAGGAAAGTGTCCTCAATTGTTACCCTTATTCTTTATAAAATGAAAGAGTATAACCAGTGTGTTATTCTATTGATATGTGGTTCAGGGATTTGAACCTTAACTGCTAGTCCTACGAAGAAGCTTGAGGTCGCTCAGCAAGCTATGGAGAGGACTATACACAGAATTTCTCTGCGCGATAGAATCCGTAATGAAAATTTTTGCAGTAAAACCAGAGTAACAGACATAGCTCAACGGTTCGGTAAGCTCAAGTGGCAATGGACCAGGCATATAGCTCAAAAAACAGACAACTTATGAAGAAAAAGGCTCTCGATTGGCAGCTCCGTACCCGTAAGCTACCTGTATCCCGGTCCTCCACTGGACGTGTTTTTCTTTATATTGGTCTGAGTGTACAGAATAGTTTTAATTTGTTGGCTTTTGCCAAACAATAGGTCACCACCTCGGATATATTGTATAGCAATGTGTGTACATTGTTCACAGTCGTATCTCTGATGAATGGCAAGTACAAGTGGATCGTCAACGAATCGAGGAGACTACACGAGGCAGGCGTCACACCAGCGATCTGTGATAAAATTCTTTACGAACATGCAATTGAACTGGTAAGTATATTTTTAGTTATACTCATAAATGAAATTAAAGTGTCCATCTGTAAAGTTACAGCCTATATACGTCCCACTGCTGGGCACAAGCCTCCCCTCATTTCTGAGAGGGTTTTAGGGCAAGGAAGTGTCCGCCGCGTTGCCCCAATGCGTGTCGGCGGACTTCACATGTCTTCGAAATATTTTTTTTCTTATTCCTCAGACATGCAGGTTTTCTTACGATGTTTTCCTTTACCTCCGAGGACGTGGTATATCAGCACTTAAAATTGCAAGTAACAAATTCATTGGTGCCGGCGGGGATCGAACCCAGGTTACTCGCGTTCTGTTATATTTACAACGAGCGTTAATCATCTGAGCTACCACGGCTCCTTTTTGTATGGTACTAAGACATAAATAACCATTATTTTAAATTTTGATTTTGTCCAAGCTAATCTTAAAATAGCTGAACAAATTGTGATTAAACTTTATGAACAGATAGAGAGCAATGCCAGGACGGATCTATCGGCGGTCTGAAGATTTTCTTGGAAAAAAAACATTGTTAAAAAAAATTGTCTTTGAATATCTTTAGTCTAAATAATGCAATATAAATAATAGATAGTATTCTGGAGAAGTCGGGGCGGGTCACTCGTCAAAATATAATTATGATGGGGACGATTGAGATGAACTATTTGGTAACAAATTGTTCATCTCAATTAATTCTTATAAACATTCTAATATAGGACATTTTACACTTTAAATTGTAACAATTAAAAATTTATCACGTATATACTCTTTCACTGTATAGGTAATAACATTTGTTGAAGAACCGTAAACATATTCAAATGTAGGTTTTTATTGTTTGCCGGTAATTTATTATGAATTGTAATAACTATGGAATAGCAGTTATTTCTATATAAAGTTGTGCGCATCGTGGGTAGCATTAAATATCCGCATAAATTCATATTTACTATGTATTTATGCGGATATCGCCCACGGTAATTATTGATTGATAACGTCGAAGTTAAGGTTAAACAGTGATTTGTGAACTTTGAGTAAAACGTAAAACTGTGTTTTGATGCAGTGCCAGATGGCTGCGATCGAGGAGCTGTTCGGCGACATGAAGGAGTGCGAGCGGCGCTACATGTCGGCGCAGGTGCTGCTGCACTCGCTGGTGCAGCGCCACCCGCTGCACCCGCAGCACCGCACCACGCTCTCCAAGTGTGAGTACAGCAGCTAATAAAACTAACCACGAGGAGCTGTTCGGCGAGATGAAGGAGTGCGAGCGGCGCTACATGTCGGCGCAGGTGCTGCTGCACTCGCTGGTGCAGCGCCACCCGCTGCACCCGCAGCACCGCACCACGCTCTCCAAGTGTGAGTACAGCAGCTAATAAAACTAACCACGAGGAGCTGTTCGGCGAGATGAAGGAGTGCGAGCGGCGCTACATGTCGGCGCAGGTGCTGCTGCACTCGCTGGTGCAGCGCCACCCGCTGCACCCGCAGCACCGCACCACGCTCTCCAAGTGTGAGTACAGCAGCTAATAAAACTAACCACGAGGAGCTGTTCGGCGAGATGAAGGAGTGCGAGCGGCGCTACATGTCGGCGCAGGTGCTGCTGCACTCGCTGGTGCAGCGCCACCCGCTGCACCCGCAGCACCGCACCACGCTCTCCAAGTGTGAGTACAGCAGCTAATAAAACTAACCACGAGGAGCTGTTCGGCGAGATGAAGGAGTGCGAGCGGCGCTACATGTCGGCGCAGGTGCTGCTGCACTCGCTGGTGCAGCGCCACCCGCTGCACCCGCAGCACCGCACCACGCTCTCCAAGTGTGAGTACAGCAGCTAATAAAACTAACCACGAGGAGCTGTTCGGCGAGATGAAGGAGTGCGAGCGGCGCTACATGTCGGCGCAGGTGCTGCTGCACTCGCTGGTGCAGCGCCACCCGCTGCACCCGCAGCACCGCACCACGCTCTCCAAGTGTGAGTACAGCAGCTAATAAAACTAACCACGAGGAGCTGTTCGGCGAGATGAAGGAGTGCGAGCGGCGCTACATGTCGGCGCAGGTGCTGCTGCACTCGCTGGTGCAGCGCCACCCGCTGCACCCGCAGCACCGCACCACGCTCTCCAAGTGTGAGTACAGCAGCTAATAAAACTAACCACGAGGAGCTGTTCGGCGAGATGAAGGAGTGCGAGCGGCGCTACATGTCGGCGCAGGTGCTGCTGCACTCGCTGGTGCAGCGCCACCCGCTGCACCCGCAGCACCGCACCACGCTCTCCAAGTGTGAGTACAGCAGCTAATAAAACTAACCACGAGGAGCTGTTCGGCGAGATGAAGGAGTGCGAGCGGCGCTACATGTCGGCGCAGGTGCTGCTGCACTCGCTGGTGCAGCGCCACCCGCTGCACCCGCAGCACCGCACCACGCTCTCCAAGTGTGAGTACAGCAGCTAATAAAACTAACCACGAGGAGCTGTTCGGCGAGATGAAGGAGTGCGAGCGGCGCTACATGTCGGCGCAGGTGCTGCTGCACTCGCTGGTGCAGCGCCACTCGCTGCACCCGCAGCACCGCACCACGCTCTCCAAGTGTGAGTACAGCAGCTAACTGCTGGACTGAAGCTGAACATAGGCCTCGCCCAGTGATTGTGCTTCAATAAGGACCATATCTGACATAGTTGGTTGGCCTGCATAATACTAATATGCTTATCCCCTCAGTATAATTACGCTTCTTTTATAAAATTGATGTGACCTGATGTTATGTGGCTACTGCAACCCATGCACACCTGCAGCCAATTGCAAACAAAAAATGCTAATTTTAGAAAACTGTTAATTTTATCCAGAACAGGATAGTGAAATCGTTTTTAAAATAACTCAAGTAACATGGAACAATATTAATAATTATATAATTTATAATTACTCTATCAATTGAAACACCTTCAAGAAACGACTCCTTTCTAAAAGGCCGGACACACCTCCAATTACCCTGGTGTTGCGGTTATTCATGGGTAGCGGTAGTTACTTAGCATCAGGTAAGCCGCATGCTCGTTTGACCCCTCTGCTATTAACAATGTGGTAGAGCCATGCTGCAGCTGATTATGAAGTTGTAGCACGAATGGGTCGGCTAGGCCGGGGTAGAACCACGCTCCCACGGAATATCAGCATATAATAATGCTGCTGTGTTTGGTATGGTGAGTGTAGAGATCCGGAGACCCTTTTTACCTGGAATCGAGGCATTCCATCTCAGTCCTCAGGGGTGACAACGCATCTGCGTTTTGATTCTTAATCGAGAATAGATGTAGATGTCTATGGGCCACAGCATCCACTTACCATCAGGTGGACTGTGTGCTCGTTTGTCATCCCTATTCTATAAAAAATAACTAAATAAAAAAGCACGTTAAATACCTATACATATAATATTGGTGACTTATGTAAATCACCAAATCTACACTTATATTTCTATCTTTTACCATGAGTTTTACGGCTCGGATTTCTGTCAAGTTAATATGTAATTTAATACAACTTATACACTAGCGATCCTATGTTCTCTTCAGAGATTTTTTTAATATATTTTATATGAATTTTTAAAAAAATTTATTAAGAAAAGTGAAAAGTAAATGCAATAATCTCACGAGAGCCACTACTAAGCAGAATTGCTACTGCTTCTAGCTTTCTAAGAATTTTTTTATCCGTGGATGTAAAATTTCAATTTTCTTGAAGTTTTCTCCATGATATTATTTTAAGCTTACATAATTTATTTATTATTGTATTAGGGCTGTACTATGAAGATTCCACTATTTGGTTTTCTTAGCCCAGTTAAGTAATTTTTGGTAGTTTTTTTGAGCTTTTTCAAATTAAAGCTAAAGTTCCGCCAAGAAACCTTTTGTGTTAAGAGGTATTTGGTTTTTACAGGGCAGCTGTTCTTGAAGGCTTTACAGATTGCCCAGTTTAGTCTATTATTGACGTATACCTTCAATGGTCTTACCTTTTTTAGGAAAACGTTTCACATTTCTCCCTTAGATGGCCCAGGTCACTGAGATCCCTACAAATCACGGTTTCATAGATGGCTGATGCGTCTATTTCAAACTAAAAACTTCTCTTATTTTATCGGACAGGCAAGCAAGGCAACACCTATTCTGATGATGATCTAGTCCTACTGCAAATACAATGTAGATTAACAGTAGTCTATATACGTCCCACGTCTGGGCACAGGCCTGCTCTCATTTCTGAGAGGGTTTTAAGGCTAGGAACTATCCGCCGCGCTGCACTAATGCGTGTTGACGAACTACACTTGTCTTCGAAGAACTTTTCCTCACGATGTTTTCCTTCACCGACGAGCATGTGGTAATTCAGCACTTAAAATTGCTATTAACAATTTTATTGGTGGCGGCGGGGATCGAACCCGGGTTGCGCTCGCGTACAGTACGAAATTTACAGCGAGCGTTTAACCACTGAGCTACCACAGGTCTGATTTTTATTAGAATGATATATTTTTATGCTTGTCATATTTCTCCATTTTTACCCTTATATTGTAAAAACTTATCAAAACAAATTTCACTGTTTACATTGGCTACTAAGTCAGTTAAATAGGACTTCTCTACTGAACTCGCATTACATCTTGAGGCCGGTGCTACTGCGCGCTCTACAGATGACGCACACAATAGTACATATAACATAAACTTTAAAATAATAATGTATTTCAAATTTTTATTCAAATTTACAGACCGAGATGCAGTTCAAAGGCGACTCAATTGTCTAAAAGGCCCGCGCAAAATTATGGATGTAAAATTAGAGGCCGGGATCTCATAATGCAATATGCAACAACCGTCTAGAAATAAGCACAACTGACGCAAGATGTGAAGTGATTTTATTTTGTTGTCAAAACTAACTTTCAGTGATAAACTGTGTACAACTAAAAGTGTATAAAAAGTGAAAGTGAATTAAATTGATTCATAGAAATGGTAACTTGTTTAGCGATGAAGATTACCAGAGATTGCAATAGTGTGTTATATTTTTTTATCACGCGAGGGCTTGCACGCCTTGGCAAGCAAATGTAGAGTATTATAGAACCGTCTAAAATATTTTAGTGGCTTTAAGATATTTTATATTAGATGAGTAGTTGTCATTGTACCCTGTTTGTAATTTAAATAACCCCTTATTATTTCTCATAGTACAACAACTTACAATAAAGCACATTTTATTGTTTGTCAAACTTATTTTGTCTACATATTAAAGTTCTACTAAACACCAAAAAAATTGTAAAAAAGTATAGAAACTGTACCGTATTAACATTTTATTATTACAATGTAGTGTTATAATATATGAAAATTAAGAAGTAATATTGATATGGACATAATGTTTTAGAGATCTCATTATCGACCAATAACAATACGGCATTTCTAGATTAAGTTAATTATGTCTGTGCATTACTGCGACAATTTTAAGTGCAAAATCAACTTTTGTAATTCCTAGACATGTTTTTTTTTGTTTGTCTGAATATGATTACAGTTTGATTTTCCTCAAAGATATTTTAATTATTTACCGAAATAAGAATAAAGACTGTTGTATAATAAAAATAAAATTTATTTGTTTCTATTTTACCTTTGATCCAAACCTTAACACCAGAATACCTTGTGAACGATGGCAGTATTTTCCAGCGCAAACAGAAGATATATGCCTACTTAATGCAGTAGAACTACACTGCAATGCAAGCACTATGCCTGCAATAAAAATGGGTCTACTAGATCGTGAAGGATCACGCTCGCCCGGAATACAAGCGTGAAATATCAGCATTAATTCCTATGCTTAAACTTTTTCATTAGGTGAGTGACGAATACGGGAGACCCTCTTTAGGATAGATTTTATTTTCTTCAAAATAGATAAAATAAATTCTTAATAAAAGGCATTTTTACTATGTTTGTCAATTGGGAAAAAATCTCTGTCCTGGGAAGAACTTTTTTTCTACAGTATCATACAATATGAACAAAATATAGTGTACAATTATTTACAAAATATTTCAGAAACTTGGAAGCGATTATCTCATTTCTAAAGGTGGTTTACATGGTTACCATGCCATCATTTACACTATATATTTTTTTATAAACCTCTCGTGTCTATTTAAACTTTTTAATATTAGAAATCTTGTACATTTTTTTCCGACTTAGTTGTAATAGTATATATGTATGTTGCCCTATGAATGCTTGACTGAACCTCCTTACTAAACTAGTAAAAAACTATGGATTACTCCAATGAAGCTTTGCGTAGAGAGTAGTGCCAGGAAAAACAGTTGAATCGACAAAACATTTCCTCCGCGCGCGGGTTTGTTTCATAAGCCGGCTTCTTACTGCGTGTGTAATCACGCGCCGCCCGAGTTGATTTGCGCGCGCGAGCCCGCTCCGCCCGTTTTCACTGGCGAGCCAAACTCTGAGCCACTGACTCAGTCTGTTTAACGCAGCGCACCTGAAATGTCGTGTGAGTCGAATTGCCACCTCCAGCCATGGAGCAATGCCACTGAAGAAGAAGGCATCGCTGTTACTTCAGTCGCTTTTGTCTTATTTTGTGGATATCATGATATCATTTACTTAATAAAATTAGGAAAATGAAGAAGAAAAGGCGCTGGTGGATGACATCGTTCAATCCTTTTGTTTATTACTTTTAACGGTATGGTTTTAAATTCTTTTGGATTAATAGCCAGGCATCATCACCCTGTCTTACACCTGTGCAGTTGAATGGGTTTAGTACTCTGGTTCTGTACTCGGATAGCTATTATAGCTATGTACAAACACTTCAGCACTTCGATATACTAACAGTCAACTTGACCCGCTGAAGGGACTAGCACCACCCAAATTTAGAAGGAATCCAAGGCTTCTCGTAGTGCATATTTGCAAGACAAAATGACATATTGTACTTCTCAGTCTTTAGTACATACCCTTAGGCAAATTTTTGCAGATTTTTTTTGAAAACTAGGTAGTTTGGATAGCTGGAAGTTGTAAAGTCTACATGCCAGACGATTTGTAATGACTCTTGGCTTAGAAGGGAAATCTGCCTGTAGTTCTACAATAATGCAATGTCAATTCTAGAAAAACAAGACCACCTTAATTCTGCTCCACTAATAAGGTATACGTGTAAGTAATTTATATACGAGCACACAATTTTCATATGAATATGAATATGAAAATTTCTTACAATCGAATTGCAATAAATTTAGATGATTACACTAGTGACGGTAACAAATTATTGCATTGTCATCAAAGTTACTTAAGACAAGGTCTTAGCACGATTTCAAATTCATTTTTCACCCGCGCGTCCCGCAGTGGGCGGTGTGCAACCGGCTGTCGGAGATCGGAGAGCGCCGCGTGAACCCAGTATGTGAGTATGCGCAAAACAAGCAGACAATTCTCCTCTAAGCAAAAACTTTTCCGTCAAGTCTCCTGTTTGCAAAAATACTAGTTAGTAATAATATTTTGAGTACGTTCTCACTAATATCAAAACTGTTTACGAGGTCTGGACATCAGAATACATTTTAATTATCAATTTTTTTTTAAAGTCAGTTTTATGATATAAGCAGGCAAGCAACATTTCAAACGCGAACTAACCAAAGTTTCGTTGACAAAATAGCTAAAATAACAGGAAAAGGATAGTTTCAAATAAAACCAATAGAAATTCAAATTTATTTAACGGTTTTATATTACACATCAATTCAACATTCAATAAACATAACCTCACACATAATATTACTTAAATAACTCGAACTCGACTCGAACGTGAAGGGTTCCGCAGCATCATATAAAATTTAGTACCTACTATGTATGAGCGCACTTTTCTAAAATTTATTTTTGAATAGAGAGAGTGTTAGAGTATTATTAAATGTTGTATGATGGTGCGGTACCCTTCATGGGCGAATCCGACTCCCACTTGGCCAATTTTAATACTACATATATAGGCTAAATTATTATTGTTATTATTATTTCTTCTTATGTTAGCGACGCACACCAGCTCGTCCCCGTTGGTGTGGAATGCAGCGCGCAAAGCGGCGATGGGGACCGCCACCCGTCACGCACAGCCCGACACGGCGGAAGGTGGAGGACGGAGTGCAGAGTTGGCACGTGGAATGTTAGAGTGGGCATGAGAGATAAGACGAATGAGTTGATCGAAATAATGAAAGAAAGAGAATTAGATGTCGTGTGTATGTCGGAGACCAAACGGAAAGACAGTGGTACTGAAGAGCTCCCTGGCGGGACGTTAGCTATATGGTCCGGAGTCCCGGAAAGCGAGAACGCCTGCCAGGGAGTGGGAGTGCTGTTGTCGTCCCGGTTGGTCGATCTTATGACTGAATACAAGGTTGTGAACTCAAGACTTCTCTGGGTTCGCTTCAAAATGGGACTGACGAAGTTATTCCTTTTGGCTGTTTATGCGCCGGTAGCTTCGTCGTCCAGGGCTGAGCTGGAGGAGTTTTGGGAAAATGTAAGAGAAGTTCTAGATTTGGTTAAGGGAAACGAAAGAACTGTTGTATGTGGTGATTTGAATGGATGGGTAGGTATCGCTCGACCAGGATACGAGTCGGTGCTTGGAAAGTTTGGCGATAAAAGGGTTAATGATGCTGGCAAGCTTATACTGGCTGTATGCAAGGAAAAAGGTCTTCTTGTGACAAACACTATGTTTAATCACAGGAAAATCCATATGAGAAGAAAGAATGAGAGAAGTATGATTGATTTGTTCCTGGTGGATGACCGACTGCGAAAACAGGTGATGGATACACGAGTGTTCAGGGTTGCTGACCTGGGAACGGATCATTATCTAGTAATTACTAGATTTAGGGGTTTGTTCGCGGGTTGGCGCTACCGGACGGCAGTAACAGAACCACAGTCGGTCTGTCGCATCCGAAGCTGGAAGCTTCAGGAAGCGGATACTAGGGACAAATATCACACGAGGGTAGCCGAAAAGCTTGACACCATCGATGGCAGGAAAGAATGTGTGGAGAGAACATGGCAGAACCTTAGGGATGGAATGGTAAGTGCAGCGGAAGAAGTATGTGGTACGACAAAAAGAGGTAGTAGTAAAAGAAGAGATGCATGGTGGAATGATGAAGTGAGAGAAGCTGTAAAAAAGAAGAAAAAAGCATGGTTAGACTACTTGGCCTCTAGTAACGATGAGCATATGAGAGAGAAGATGAAAGAAAGATATAAGCTGCAGAAAGTTCATGCGAAAACATTGATTGAGGAAGTACGTGAAAGGTGTAGAATAGAAGCGGACGAGAGGTTGTCGCACAACTTTAGGGAAAACTCCAAACTCTTCTGGAAAGAGGTTGGAAGGTCCCGGAGTGGTGCGACAGCCTTAAGAATGAACAAAGTGCTTTCGAGAACCAATGACGTCCTCTCAGAAAAATCGGACGTCATGCAGCGATGGAGTGAATTTTATAGAGAAATGTATGCGTGTCATGATCTTAGTGAAGGATCCGGGGATGACGCCGTGACTGGCACGCCAGACACGGACCTCGATGACACTGAGGTCATCAGCATGAAAGAGATTGAACGTGCGATTCGAAGTTTGAAATGTGGTAAGGCTGCGGGACTAGACAGAGTTACTGCTGAAATGGTCAAGTACGGTGGGCCTCGCGTCTGGGACAGCTTCCATCTGCTGTGCAATTTGTGCTGGCGGACGGGAGATGTCCCGGATGATTGGCGATCCGCGGTCATTGTGCCTTTATATAAAGGTAAAGGTTCACATTTTGACTGCGGGTGCTATCGGGCGATCAGCTTAACCAGTTTAGCAAGTAAAGTTTACTCGAAGGTTTTGACAAGTAGGATGCA